TTCAGGACATTTGTTAACAGGATTAAAGCAATGAAATATAAAATTTCCATGACAGAAAGTGAAGCCAATATGGAAGTGTCACTCTTCTGTTTAAGTGTATTAAAAGCCAAAAATTCTGAATAATTAATGAGCACCAGACCCACGTGACCGCAGAGCTAGCTCCAGGGAAAGGCCTCAGTCTGAGCCTCGGCCTCGCCTGAAAACTGTTCTGCGATATATAGTCTCTCAACTTAGACCATTGGTTGTGCCGTTTGTGTATTCTTTTTTTGGATATTATTTGTGCAATTGTTGGACAAAATGACTTGCTGTGGTATTAATCGCACTAATAGAGCGTCCAAGGAGTCTCCACTTCATTTTTTTCGGTAAGTAAAATTATATTTATGTATTTTAGGTCACTGCCGCTCTTGCACTAGCTGATTAGATTAGATTAGATTTTAACATTTACTGTTTAACCATGAAATTGAAATGTAATAGGGTAAAACCCAGTGCATTTAACACAACGCTGCATTTTTGAAAATGGGTTGAAATATGACATGTTGGTGGAGCTGGATTCCGACTATCGGTATGGACTCCCTCCCTTCAGCTGCAGCTCACACATCTCTGATCACAGCGCCCGTCTGCTGCGCAGCTGCCAGCTTGTGGAGCTCTCGGGAGACCTCTGTGTTCCACCCGGTTTTACTCAGCGGTCAGCCCGGCGTATCTCTGACTCACGCCGGGTTTCCACAGGAGCCGTCAGCAGCACGTTACTGCAGCAGCACGTCTTGCTCGTGTAAGCTGCTGCTTGGCCCTTCCCACGAGACGTGAAACTGCAGGGGAGCAGCTGTCACCGACCGAGCACGAAGTCACACGAGTGACTTCGTCAGTAAACACAACAACAAGCAGGAGAAAACTACAACATGGTTTGTGTTTTATGTTCTGTCCATTTTATAATCGCCAATACGGACTGTTGTGGATAGGCGTTGCCTTGGGTCACATGGTGTCGGTAATAATAATAGTGATTGCCATCACCTGTGCAGGTGATGGAATGGGAGAGTGAGTGGGTGATGGGGAAAGTCGACTTCTTTGCTGACCGCTCAAGCTTAGAATGTTTCTTTTATTTCTCACTGTTTTCAATGGATTTTAAGGCTTTGATAACAAATAAAGGAGTTTTTTAACCTGGAACTTTGATTTATTAGTGGAACAGCGGGCGCGTCAACATTATTCCCCTATTCAGCTGCTCGGCGACTCAAAGGCTTGAAAGTCGCCAATACGGACCTGAAAAACAAAGGAGAACGCTAGCTATGTGATAACTTCTCACGGGGCCGCACAGTTAGTAACCTTTTTTAAAGTAAAGCAACCGGAAGGCAGTACGTTCTTTATTCTGAAAATCTCGGGAGCTTCTCTCCATTTCCGCGTCCGATTTCCTGTCTTTCCTTCCCCAAAAATGTCGAACTTGACCCGTTTCAGAGGCGTTGCGCGTAGAAAATAGAACCGGCGCGTAAAGGCTGCGACATGCTGCTCCTGAGACGCGGCCGACTCGCGCTGCTGACAGCTCCAGCGGAAAAGGTTCTGTTGACCACAGCAGTTCCTATCAGCAGTTATGATGTGCTGCTGACGGCTCCTGTGGAAAGCCGGGGTCAGAAGCTCTGGTGTTGTGCACAGTTAACTCCGGTTGTAGCTAGGTTGCTACCTCCGTTAGCTTTGCTCCCACCTCCGCATTACCTTTGGGTTAGCTTGTAGCTAAATCACTTCAGTTCGATGGGTGTCGTTATTTGATCCCAGCCTTACAGCCCCACCCTCAGCTCCACCTCTCTTCCCTTTTGTGGAATTGTCTGGGCTTGACGGAACCTATGACACGGTGAAAATGGTGGGGGTGGCCACCTCCCATTTTGGCTTAAAAACTTATTATTGGAGCCTATGGACATGCATTGTCCAGTATATATGTCAATGGCAGGGACAATAAAAGCTTTTGATTAATATTTTACAACAAACTCAGCAGAAAAATTACTTCAAATAGCTTCAGACAAAATTCTGAAAGTTAGAATATGGTGAAAAAGTTCACTTATGTCAGTAATTCAACTTAAAAGGTGAAACTATGTGAAATATGTGAGATACTTGTTACATACCAACCAAGATAATTCAAGTCTATTTGTAATATTTGTGACGATTATAGCTAATAGCTTATGAAAACCTTCAATTCAAACAGTCAGAAAATTTTAATATTGTGAAATGGTTTAATATTTTAGACTCAAAAGCCACTTTCACACATGGGTCAGCACGGACTAAATGAGTACGTTTTTTTTTTTTTTAGATCTCTGTCATTCTTGTGATTTCCTGTCCGGCCCGACCATTTTTTCCAGACCTCCTCCCGGAGGTCCAGCCAGGGCTGATGTGGCCATGCCCACACATTAGGGGCTGATTGGCTGGCTGAAATTCATGCCTTCTGCCTCCAAATGGCGAGTAAAATCTGCTAGCGGGGGCCAGCATTCCGGTTGCTGTCAAGTAAAAGTCTCTGTCTGTTGCAAAGAGCTCTAGCTACAGCATGGGGGGTGGGGAACAAGGATCAGAGGAAGAGATCATTGTGTGTGTGTGTGTGTGTGGTTTGAGGATTAGGGCTGCTGCAAACAACTACTAATCACCAGTTTTTTTGACGATTAAATGACTAATCGTGTCAGGCATAAAAGTATAGCTTATTGCACCAGGATGCTCTAATACACTCATCATTAGCTTCTAGTCTGATGTGTGATCAGTTATCTGCATAGAAATGTATCTAATGATAAACGAGATAGCTTATCAAACAACTTTTAATTCACTTTGTAACCTGTTATTACAAAGGCTACAGTCAAATGGAGGTAGGTATGGGGAGAAAAAAAGTTTCAAAAGATCTATGCGTGTGCATCTAAATGTGTGCGCGTGTCTATATTTTTGTGTATCTAGATTTGTGTGTGAGTAACTCTTGATTTGTAACTTGTGTTTACATTTTTGTGTGTAACATCAGTTCTTACACATACAAATCATTGAGCACGCACACACAAATCAGTACAAAAGTACAATACAGACGACGCTATTTTAGGTTTAGTGTGAAAATAAGTCCTGGAGTATAAATGCGCTTCACGAAAGTGATGTCATCGAACCAGAAACAGAGAAAAACAGAGGGAAAATGGCTGTAAGTTCAGCGGACTTTAAATCCTTTCTTCAGGAGGAAAGAACCACCATAAATCTGTGACTGGAGTGGTCGAAACACCCATCATTAGTTTTCATTTAAATAGTTTTCATTATTGTGCACACACATAAACTGGCCCAAGAGCAACTTCCATGTCTGGAACTTCCTTGTCTTGTGTGTCAATCTTTCAGACCTATAAAACATCTGAAATGGTCTAAAATAATAGCCGTCTCATTATAACCTGAACGCAAAGCATGCTGGATTAACTTTTACTTACTTCAGAGGAAAGATCACCAGGACGTTGCACCATCATCTTGTGCCTTCTACTGGTTTTTCCAGTCAGAAAATTACTCTGCCATTTATTAGTCATTTCTTTATAACCTTTGACTACGTTTTCATGGCTCACAAAGACATATGTCTAAATAAAGTTTTAGATGATTAAAAATGAAATGTATGTCTATCTTTTATAACTACAGGATCCTGAGATACTATATTTTTCCACAGAAAAACATTTGTCTCGTCAACACAAATTTAGACTCATTCCAAAGGAAATTCAAATTTCCCAGCTTTCACTCAGTATTCAAATGCACCATGTACGCACAAATAAGTCAGGTGAAAAATTAGTCTCAGAAGGATTGTAAACTAATCTGTGTGTAATGTAGTTTTGTCCATGTTTACCAGGTGATTTGCGTGTGTGTATTCAATGATTTATATGTGTAGGAGCTGAAGTTACAAAGGAAAATGTAAATACAAGTTACAAATCAAGAGTTACACACACACAAATTTAGATACACACGCACAAATCTAGACACACACGCACAGATCTTTTGAAAAAAATTTCTCCCCATAGGTAGGCGCCTAGAACCAAAAATAATTTGTACACAAAAATGACTTGTGCTTGTAGCCAGCTAAAAGTCATTTTTGGTATTGAAACAAACTCGTCAAATGAAGAAGAGTTTTTTTTAACACTAACGTAGTGACATAAAATAAATTATTGGTGTTTGTAACATTTGAGCAAATACCTGCAAATACATACGTGTTCTAAAGGTAGTCGCCATCACCACTGCTGTTGCTACAGCTATGAATACTAGTAAAGCTCTGTTAATGTTAGCAGCTAACGAGAGGTAACTAGCTTACAGAGGCGACTCTTCATCTCCGCCAGGACGTGCTTCCTTTAAAGGTGCTCATGCATCATCGATGTGCTCCCGTGAAAGGAGTTTCACCTTGCAGATTTTGCACTCTACGTGCTTCACTTTTGTCTTGTAAAAATGCTCACAAACTTTTGAGCAACGTTGCCGACTCGCCACATCTTCTTTCTCGGGTGATTCTATAGGCAGATCTGGATGGCCACTACAGCACATGAGCCTTAAGCAGAAAGTACCCGCTGAAGGTGTCGCAGCAGGCAAGATTTTAAAAATGCTCATAGAATAAACAACGTCGACCCTTAAATTTACTATTTTGTTTGTCGACGTCGTCGTGACCAATCGACTGATCGTGTCAGCACTATTGAGGACACACACAACAGTGAGAGAACAGGGAGCAAATTAATTAAATGATGTATGTGCTGGGGGATATCCGCATCCCAGAGAAGTCCTTGGGAATCATAAGTTAACAAAAACCGCCCGTATGGGACCGAACTAACGCAATCCGCCTCCGACCGTACTGACCCAGATGAGTTAGTTCTGAAGTGTCAGACTCTAATCAGCTAATGAATCCAGGACACCTGTAAAGGCTTCCTGAGCCTTTAGAAGGTCTCTCAGTCTAAGCTGGATTACTGAATAGACTTTTGCAGGATATTCTAGTTCTTCAAGTGTCATCTGTACACATTAGGGAAAAAGTCTAGGGAACACATGACAGCTTTGGTCTAAATACAGATTTATTAGGGAAGAAAATGTTCCACGACAAACAAAATAGGAAAAACAAATTCACAATCCATCATCTTCCTTACAAGGTGCCATGAAACCTCTAAAACCTTTTAAAGCCTCATAAAAATACTGTCTTCTAGGAACACAAGGGCGCGTACTGATGGAATGCAACTTTTACTTCATCTTCCTTTTATCATTTGATCAGAAATGCCAGAAATCTAAAGAATACAGTAAGTCAGAGCTGAATACTCTTTAGGAAACCACCCTGGTCTGGAAATAAAACAGAAAACAGTCTTTATTGGTCCTGATTTGGAAACTGAGTGGTTGAGCCAAGAAGGTGAAAAGTGTTTCTATGGCAAAACATTGGTCATTTAATGGAAAGGTATTTATCCTGGTCAATGTATCAGGTCCGGGGGTGAAACTGTAATCAGTAACTTCCTACAGTATCTGTATCAGCAGTTTTATAGAGTAAAACAAACCCGGTTGATAAAAACAGATAGCTTGTTCTTAAACTACCTCACGGGTCCCAACAAGAGCCAAACCATAAATCTAACCAAGTTAATGTAGAAGGAAAAGGGCTTGGCACAACACGATGGTTAGAAGCTTAAAGGAAGACAATACCTACATGTTACAGTCTAGGTTCCTACATGACAATCAGTTTAAAATTGGCCCGACTTTATAAACGGTGTTCCTTCATTTTCCTGCAGAGCAGAAATGGGGACACACTCAGGAGTGGCTAGGTCACATTCACTTAAAGAAGAAACAAAAATCAACCATCGACTGGAATATCTGACAGCCATAGAATGATTGAAGAGGTAAAAAAAACCTAAATTATTTAAGAGAATTGATCATTTTAAGTGTCTTTACTGACGTGTTTTAAGTGTTGTCTCAAGTTATTTTACGTTTGAGTGGTCCTTGAGGCGTCGCTGAGTTTATCACATTTACAGTCAAAAGTTTCCAACCTTGTGAACGTTTTAAGACCAAATACAAAATCTTCCGATGCAGCGTAAAACTGGAATGGAAAGAACTTTCCAGAAGCATTACCACGCTTGTGATTTTTGTCCTTTTTGTGTTTAAAGAAAAACATCACAAGCAGGTGGATTTATTGCGAGGAAAACATCAAATTACTAAAAAAGGAGGATGAAAGAAAACTGTTGGTGCTTCAGACTGAAGTAAGTCTGGTTTCAAGTCATCTACTGTTCGTGTGATCTCTTTACTAAACTATAACTGAATTATCTAACACTTTATTCTCCTACAATCCTGATTGTTTTTAGTCTTTTTTACATTAATACACATGACTAACAGCTGCCCAGCTCTGCTGAAAGGCTCTGATCTCTTCCTCTCAAACCTGAAAATAAAAGAAGTTTCTAAAAACATCTGTATTTATGTTAGATTTGTGAGAAATAAATATACAGTATCTCCTCTGTATGGGGTCTAGAGGCGTACATGTTCAACCAATTTTCTTTTATTTTAAGATCCTAGGAAGGGATTGCCAATAACTTCGTGTCTCACCATAACTCTGTTTGTGGACAACACTGGACTTCCTTTTGATTGTTTTTAGAAAACTTGATTTGATCTTTGATTCAGAGACACGTTACTGGCCCTGGGACTCGCGGACCTTGGCTTGCAGGGCGTCACACGTCTTCTTTGCATCTCCTAACAACATTGCAGTGTTGGGTTTGTAGAAGATGGGGTTGTCCACAGCTGCGTATCCCACACCCAGAGAACGTTTCATCACCACCACCTAAAAACCACAAAAATCTTCAACAGCAGTAAAGAAAGAGCTCCGAGTGTCATTTCACATGAGTAGTTGTCAGTAATGGGATAAGGATGAAACCATACATAGACTCTTGAATCCGCTCCAACATTTTTTATGACTTATGAGCTTTAGAACCTGACCACCCACCAGGTGCACAGGCACTCGTCTCATAAAATATTCCATTAGTCTTCATTTTTCTGGTCTTTAAGGCAGATCTTATTATCGTCCTGACACCAGATGTCTCACCTGTTTGGACTTCCAGACCTCTAACACTGGCATGCCAGCTATGATGGAGTTGGGGTCTTCTTGTGCGGCCGAGTTCACCGTGTCGTTGGCACCAATTACCAGAACCAGGTCAGTATCTGTTCACACAAACCACAAAAGAAAGGTTTCTACACCTTGTATGCACAAACTAAGCATCTCAGTTGAAGCATCTGTTTCCTGTGTGGAGTTTTTTTTCTTGTAGTTCAAGTTCAGTTTTATTAGAATTTTGTAAGGAATTCTAGACCCCATTTTGACATGTCTAGAAATTGTGAAAATTTGCAGTTTCACAATTTGAGGACAACAAAGTTCAGATTCAAGTTGATACGATCGCTTATTTCCTGTTGTTGAGTCTTGCAAGTTACAGCTGATTTAACAGGAGATGGCCTGGGGGGGGGGGAACGGGACGGAGAAGCTTCCATGAAAAACAAAAAAAGAAAAAAAAAACTACTCAGAAAGGCTTAAAGTTAGAATATTTATTTAATTATATTTATTTAATTATATATATATATATATATATATATATATATATATATATATATATATATATATATATATATATACATATATATATCCTTTTCTTGAACCAGAATGTGCTAAAATGGCCCGTTACAGGGTTAATGAAATGTTACTCAGAACTCCACTGCCACCGTGGCCAGAATACTGCACTTGCAACTTCAGAGTGCCGGTCAGGTTCCTGTTGGACTAAGTGAAGTGGAGCTGACATGCTTGGTACTGGACTCTGCTCCCAGCACGACTGCTGCATGTTTTAGATCATGAGTAGAGCTGGGTTGTTTGATTTAGTGAATCTCTCCTGTAGACACTAATGAAGGCTGAGGAGACAGCGTCCCACCCATAGGACAAAACACATTCCGTTCATGGGACCTGGAACTTTAAGGGGTTAAAAACACGAACGTACAGCGAGGAGATATGTTTCACTTTTGTTTTTACTAACTGACACTAGGGGGTGCTAAAAGCTGCCTAGTATTTTGTTAACAAAATAAAAAACACGAAGGTAAATTAGAGAATTCGACTTTAGAAAATGTCATAATTACAGTAACATTTACAATCGCAACATTAACATTTTCTACTAAACTAATGGAAGATAACATTTAATTGCATCATCTCTCTACTTTGCTTATTGCCACATTCACCAGGTTTTTGTCCGTTTGGTACTTGTCAGATACATGCTTTGAAATAAAAGTATTGCAAAATTCACAAGTTTATTCATTTAAAACATTTAAACAGAGAAATTATTTAACCCTCCCACTGTCCTAATAGGTGTGACCCCGTGAGGAAAGATGATTATTGAGCAGGGTTGATTGTTTATCCCTTGGGTCCACATGGCAGGAGTGAGGAGTGAGCACCACCTCACACCTGCCACGTGGACATCAAGGCATCAGTCCTGCTTAATGGTCAACTTTCCACGCAGGGTCACCCATAAAGACAGTGGGAGGGTTAAACAAAAAAGGCCTTTTGCTGATGCATAAATTATTAAGACAGCTGTTGGTTAAATCTGAAGTCCCAAACAAAGCAGCACAGTGACACATATAAAAAAGAATTCTTCCATTAAAACCTTGTAAGAGGTAAAGCGGACTCACCGGAGAAGTCCTCGTTGATCTCATCCATCTCCAGAACAATGTCATATGGGACACCAGCTTCGGCCAGCAGGACGTTAAGCTGACCGGGCATACGACCTGCTACTGGGTGAATGCCGAACCTGTGGGAAACAAAAAGTGACTTTCAGTCAACATTCACATATTTCTCTTTAATAGGAGGGAGAAAGGAGATGCCAAAGGTCAGAGATAGAACCAAAACAAGTAAAGAGAAGTCAAAAAGACTTTTAGATGGTGACAAATGTCTGTTTACACGTAACTGCCACTGAACTCCTCCAACAGTGTGTTCTATAGTGACTGAGTAGACGAAGTTCTCAATTAATCCGGTCATTTGCCCTAGAAGTCTCTCCTTCTCTCCACCCACAAACGTGTCTGACCAAAACGTGGAGCCTGATTTTGTCACTTCTGGTCAGGTGAAGGCGGACGTAGAGCACATCCGACCTGTGATGTTAATAACTGCTGCAGCCGAAGCATGAGAAACTGTTTCTGTTGAGCATGTGTCCATGTGACTGAGGACAGTTGGTTAAAAAGGCTGACTTCAGTCTTTTACAAAAGCTGTAAGACCGATGTGTGTGTGTGTGTGTGTGTGTGTGTGTGTGTGTGTGTGTGTGTGTGTGTGTGTGTGTGTGTGTGTGTGTGTGTGTGTGTGTGTGTGTGTGTGTGTGTGTGTGTGTAAAATGCAACAAAGATGGATGGTTAACTGGGACTAGAGGGACAATTAGGCAGGCTGGTTAGAGTATGAGGATAAATTAAGAACAAAACATAAAAAAGGAAAAATCAGGGTGAAGGAGTGTTTCCCTCCTTTTTTTCTGTGACCACCCACTTTCCTTTAATCAAGGACAAATGCTCTAAGGAGCAGCCAGGATCAAACAACACGAGGAGAACAACTACACGGGGTTCTGCTGGAGCTGATTCCTCTTCTCTTTAGCTTTTCCTTTGTCTCTCTCTCACAAACTGGCGCGCGCGCGCTCACACACACACACACACACACACACACACACACACACACACACACACACACACACACACACACACACACACACACACACACACACACACACACACTAGCCTGAAGCATCCCATCCCTCCTCTGGACTTGGTTCACTTTACATTTTCTTTACTCGTCTTTCTGAATTGTAGTTCTATTTCGTCTAGTCTTAGCCCTTAAGCTAGCTGCTATTGGAAGGATGATCTCAGCATCAGCCAGTCATGAAGAGCTTAAATGTATGCCCACCGATGGTGGGCACCCCTGTGGGTACATAAATGGAGCGACTCCAGTGTTCGCCTCCGTTATCTCTTCAAGCCAAGCTTAAGAGCTTCCTTTAAAGAGCAATTATCCAAGAAGCATTCTACTCACCTACCATGTCCAGTGACGCCAGGACCTGCCCGGCCTGCCAGACGGGCTCCATCTCCAGCGGCGACCTGCACGCCAAGTGTGAGGTCTGTCTCGGGGCTCATCACGCTGGCCTGGCCTTGACCGCCCAGGCCTCGTGCCCGTTTTGTGCCGCTCTGCCCGTGGCTGAAAAGATCCGCCGGGTCGAGTACTTCACCCCCGCCGCCGCCGAGGAATTTCCGGTGGCTGACACGTACTCGCTGGACAAGGCCTTACAGTTCTTCAACTTCGGCCAGGAGCCGGCTGGCTTCAACCGACTGGACGATGTTGTCGACAGTGAGGAGTACGATGAGGCTGGCCGCCATGGCCCTTCTTCCCTCCTGGACAATACGGAGGTCGACGAGCCTCGTTCAGCGGGTCCTTCTGCTCCAGTGACTTCTCGCTCCTCCCTGCCAGCAGTTAGAGCACTGCTCCAGGAGCTGCCTGCCATCATCTCCGCGGCTGCGGTCTGCAAGGGGCTAGCTGTGCCAGAACCGGCTCCGCCTGAAGCAGATGATTTGGCGGGAATTTTCGGGGCAACACAGACGCGCTGTCCAGGCCCATCTGGCCGCGCTTCTCCGCTGCCATGAGCTGCTGGTCCGCCGCCGTCTCCGAACCTGCTAAGCTCAAGGCGCCAATTTCCACATATGCGCCCATTACCAAGGTCGAGGGCTTCTCCGACCAAGGCTGGCTTTCCGTTCCTCCACTGGAGACGGACTTGGCCTCGCTGTTTGGCGCCAAGAACCACCTCGCTGGCCTGCTGACGCAGCTCACCGATTGCGCACACCAGTGCGCATTCTAGACCGGCGCTGCAGGAAATAACATCGCCCTTCTTGCCTTTGGCATTTCCAAAATGGTGGAAGAGCTTGACGCTCCTGACGAGTCACAAACCATCATTACTAAAACTGCTGATGCCATTCTCAATCTGTGCACTGCTGTACTCACCGATTCTGCTCGCGTTGCTGCCTGGCAGACCCTTATGCAGCGGGCCTTGTGGCTCAAGGCCCTGCCCTCCATTCCTGAACATCTGCACAGGGAGATGCTGGAAGGCCCCATCACCTCTGATGTTCTGTTTGGTCCCTATCTTAGGAGCGTCATTGAGAGGGCTGAGAAGACAGCTGAACTGTCAGCCACGGTGCGAGACCTGGTCCACCCTCGGTTAGCCTTGCACTCCGGCCGTTTCTCCAGAGGATGGGACGAACGGCGCGGAAACTTCAGGCGCCCAGCTGCACCGCCCGCCCCACGGAGCCGGCCTCCCGCTTCAGCTCCACCTCAGCGAGACCAGAGAGTTGGCGGCCAACGGTTTCGAAAGAGCCAGCAGACACCGTCTTGGCAGTCACAGTCGTAGGAACCTCGCCGAAAGCAACCACGAAAATTACTTGTTGGGGGGAATGTGTGTGCTTATGACTGTAATAACTCTGAATGATGTTGGTTTTGAAATAAAACCCAAAAAACGTCACTTAGAGAGCACAATCCTACAGTCCTCTGCAAAATCCTCTGCCGAATCCTCACACATGCTCCCCACACCAAGCACTGCGACACATCTGCATGTTCAGTCATATTACACGGCCAGCTGTACGGGTGCACTCCATTTGCGCACTGGCCCTAGCTTCCAGCCAGGCCCAACACATTCCGCTTCCCCCACAACGTTGGGTGGGACGGGATGTCATGCCGCTGTTGCGACCACGCGGGGCGACACAGTGCGCGGCTCCTTCCGCTGGCACTTTGTCGACCCTGCGCACGGGCCCGGCTCCCACTCGTCCTTTAACTTTGGACTCCACGCTCCGCAGTGCGGATCAGCCTCTTCCAGCTGTTTCACACTGGCGCTTTCGAGCGCAGGCCTCCATGGGTCGCTCCCAGTTCTCGGTGCGAGCGACGGCGGTAAGGGCGCGAACCCAGTCCTCAGACGTCGTTCACGTGACCTCGAACACGCGTCCGCTGTCGGAACACGCGCAAAAATGGCGCCGCCTTTGTCTCATGAGCAAATGGATATCGGAGACCATTAATTGCAGTCACACACTCCATTTTCAGTCCGCTCCGTCTCCCTTCAACGGGATCGTGGAGACGACGTTCACATCACAGGAACAATCTCAGGCCCTGGAGCTGGAGCTGCGGGAACTTCTGTCCAAGGACGCCACTTCCCAAGTCCCTCGCAGACAAGAGCCCTCAGGCTTCTACTCCTGCTACTTTGTAGTACCGAAGAAGTCGGGAGGAATGAGACCAATTCTCGACCTTTCCCTGTTCAACTGCTCCATAGCAGTGATGCATTTCTGCATGTTAACAATGAGGCAAGTCCTAGAATACGTGCGCTCCGGGGACTGGTTCACATCAATAGACCTGAAAGACGCATACTTCCACATCCCAGTAATTCCCAAACACCGGAAGTTCCTGCGCTTTTCATTTAAGGGAGTTCAATACCAGTTCAATCGTCTCCCTTTCGGCTACTCGCTAGCCCCGCGCACCTTCTCCAAATGTCTGGAGACGGCCCTGCAGCCATTGCGCACGGCAGGAATGAGGGTTTTATTTTACCTGGACGATCTGCTCCTATGCGCCCGGTCCAAGGACGAGGCATCAGAGCAAACCAGGAAGTTAATAGAGTATCTGTCAACCCTGGGGTTTTCCATAAACTGGGTTAAGAGCTCCATCCTTCCATCCCAGTCGATTGTGTTTCTCGGGGTGGAGCTGAACGCCTCCCTAATGAGAGCACGTTTGTCTCCGGCGAGAGCAGCAGATCTCACCACGGTGATCTCCAACCCCGCGAGATCGTGGGAGCCCTGTTAGTCATGAAACTTCTGGGCATGATGGCTGCAGCCCACGCTGTGGTGCCGTTAGGTTTACTGCACACGAGACGCCTACAGCGTTGGTTCATCTGCCTCCGGGTACACCCGATACATCAGAAGAGACGTATGTTGAGGGTTCTCCTTCAGTGGGCGGGGACCTCGCTCACTGGGGGAATCCCTGCATCCTCTCACACGGGGTCCCCATCGGACGTCCTACGTCACACGTATCTGTGTTTACGGATGCATCACTGTTGGGATGGGGGGGCACGTGCTTGTCCCATACGGTGGCAGATCGCTGGCCCTCCCACACGCACAAGCACATAAATGTGTTGGAGCTCATGACAGTGAGGAATGTGATCAGACACTTCGCTGCCCTTTTCGAGGGCCGTCATGTCGAAGTTCACACAGACAACCAGGTGGCGGCAGCCTGCATAAATCGCAAAGGGGGAGTTCGATCCCTCCCACTATTGCGCGTAGCCACAGATTTACTGTGTTGGACACATGTCCACCTGCTGTCCATCAAAGCCACCTACATTCCGGGGGTCCGGAATGTGGCAGCAGACATCCTGTCGAGAGGGGGACCCCGCGACTCTGACTGGTGTCTGCATCCCGCACTGATATCACAGATATGGATCAAGTTCGGGGAACCCTCTGTGGATCTGTTCGCGGCTCGCGAAAATGCTCAGTGTCGCCTGTGGTTTTCCCTGAGTCCCCGGGACCACCCCCCACTCGGAGTGGACGCCTTCTCACACCAGCCCTGGCCTCAGACGCTCCTGTATGCGTTTCCGCCAGTCCCACTGATCCCCCATCTCCTGGACCGAGTTCGGTCGGAACAGCTCTCGGTAATTCTGGTAGCTCCCAGACGCTTGTCCGCGTCATGGTTTCCAGACCTGCAAGCGCTAGTGTCCAGCTCCCCGTGGAGGGCGGACGCCCTTCTCCAGGCGGATGGGATAATCAAACATCCTCCAGAAATAGGCCAACGGCTGTGGGTCTGGCCGCTGAGCGGTCAGGCTTAGAGGCTTCTGGGCTGCAGCATGATGTGGTCGCCACGATTCAGAGTGCGCGGGCGCCTTCTACCGTCACATCTTATGCTGCTAAATGGGCAACTTTCAAGAAATGGTGCACAGAGTGGAATGTTCAAGCGCTCTCCTGCCAGCTGGCGGATGTCCTATCGTTTCTGGAGATGCTGATGGACAGGGGCCTCACATTTAGCACTATTGAAACATATGCTGCAGCTTTCGCATCCTGTCACCAGGGTTTTGGAGATAGATCTGTTTTCAATCATCCCCTCACAAAACGTTTTCTAAAAGGTGTCAGAAGGAACAGACCTGTGTCCCGCCCGCTATTCCCCAGTGGGACCTAATGGTGGTTCTGCGTGGCTTATCTGAAGCCCCATTTGAACCCTTGGACCACTCAAGTTCCTGTCACTCAAAACTGCCTTGCTGCTGGCGCTGGCATCAGTCAAGAGAGTGGGCGACCTAACCGCCCTCTCAGTGGCTCCCGCATGCCTCAGGATCCAGGAAGATGGCGGGTCCACTGTTTTAGGTCTCAACCCAGCCTTTGTGCCCAAAAACATTAATACTTCCTTCAAATCCAGGTCAATTTCATTGGCTGGACTTTTTCCTCCTCCACATAACTCTGATGAGGAGGCGGCTTCCCACCTTCTCTGCCCGGTGCGTGCGCTCGCACGATATGTGTCACACACTTCAGGGATTCGCCGCTCACAAAGCCTGTTTGTGCACTACAGAGATTCTTCCCTTGGGCAAGCGCTGCCGACCCAGCGTCTTTCACACTGGCTGTGTGACGCCATTTCACTTACTTACACATCATCAGGGTGGGATCCTCCTGAGACACTCACTCAGCCAGAGGGAATTCCTCTTCTATGGCGCTCCACAGTGGTGTGTCGATGGAAGACATTTGTCAGGCTGCTTCATGGGCTTCACCCTGTTCCTTTACTCATTATTATTTATGAGATGTGTCTTCAGGATCCATCACTCGTTCAGTGCTTGGACCTCAGCAGGCTGAGTGAAAGCATTATGGCACCACATCAGCCCTACTTGAATGAATTTCATCCTCTTGTGGATGGTATTTTTAGTGGGGGCCCCACTCTTCTCTCTGGCTGCCTCAGCCTCTTAAGCCCTGGGCTGAGGCTGAGCGTCCCTCACTGTTGGGTGTGTCCATTGGTTGAGCTAACCAGTGTGGCGTAAACCCATCCAGCTGCGCATTATTCTAATAGCAGCTAGCTTAAGGGCTAAGACTAGACGAAATAGAACGTTGGTTACGTATTGTAACCCCAGATTCTATTAGTCTAGTCGCAGCCCTTAAGCAAATGGCCCCACTGGTTCTGTTAGGACTAAGAGCCATCGGAGGCGAACAGTGGAGTCGCTCCACTTATATACCCACAGGGGTGCCCACCACTGGTGGGCGTACATTTAAGCACTTCATGATTGGCTGATGCTGAGATCATCCTTCCAATAGCAGCTAGCTTAAGGGCTGCGACTAGACTCATAGAATCTGGGGTTACAATACGTAACCAAAGTTTTCATTTCTGCTAAAGACAAAAACATCTAGATCATCACGTTACCTGACTTTCTTGCCAGCATCCTTCAGGAGCTTTACTAACTCAGCGATGGGGTACTGCGCCTTTGCTGCACAGAGTCCATAACCTGAAAGAGATTTGACAACAGTGAGGAATGGGTGGATGTACCATTCAGACCTCACACCTGATGTCATCATTTACTGAATGTTAGGATCAAACACTAGAGAGTTGCTAAACAAGGTATCTGTAAGTGTAGCGGGACATGGGCTAAAGCATATGAACCTACAGACACCAGCTTCTAAACATCCTTGACTCGCATTCTAGCCTAAAACAAGACGAGCTCCAAGTTCAAATGCAACAGAGACAGATAAAACCAGGGCCTGAAAGTTTCTTGGCGTGTTCAGAGAAGCATTTGGTTGCGTTAAAGTCAGAGACATTTGCTTTACAGAGAAGGTTTTTAACATGCTGCCAAATGAGAGATTGTGAATTAATTTCCGCATCGTCTTTTTGGCTAAAAGATGGAGAACAAAGCCTGTTTTATCACCTTATTGTGATAAAGTTGTGAATTTTTTGTACAAAGTAAAATAAATAAATAAGATAAAGAAAAAAAGAGATAATTTTGCAATATCACTCACCCTAGATGACATTACTGGCTTGAATTGTTACTGTGGTGAAAGTTGCTGTGCTGTATTGCTGATTTTTGTTTTACAAAAAAAAAACAGCAATACTTATGTGCATTTACGGTGTAGAATGACTATTAAAGATGTTTGGTTTAATGAGCCTTACTTCCTTTTTTCTTTCATAATAAAAGTCCCATCCTGTTGCACTGCATTTCCAAATTAAAACACAAAAAAAAAAAATCCTGATAATTAAATTATTGATTTCTCTTTGTGTTGTTGATTCGTGAAAAAACAACTGTAGAGAAAGAGTTTAGAGAAAGTCAAAGAGCATTTAATTCAGTGACAGCAAACCTGGCGTTAATCTCATCTCTGAGGTATTATCGGTCTTCCCCTGAGGCTGATACCAGTTAATCAATAAAACTAAGAGAAAAACAAAGACAACACTGGATTCTGCAATAAAGCTACAATGGCAAACTTGGAAAACAAATTAGCTTAAAAAATGGTATCATGCCTCTTAACATTCTAACATCATATAGCTATAAATATGGGAGATTTAAAAAAAATAAACAAAAAATGGTTCTCTCGCATTTGTCTAAAAACAACCGCCAAAACAACGTTTCGGACCAAAAACAACTATTGGACATCCGGTTGTCGGTCTCAATGAAATGCAGCACTTCGCTGGGTCCTCCACTCATTACACATTCGCGTATTTCGCTACAGAACACCACAGGTGTGAGAGGTTCTCCGCTCAAATATACCAGAGAAGGAGAAACAGCCGGCCGCTACCACTTCTACTTTAGGACAAACTACCAGTGTCCCAAAGAAGAAAAAAAAACACCTTTTGAAGTCATGGATAACGAAAGACATTTGGACGTAGAGAACAGGTGACAGGTGTTTAGCCCTATATCGTTTCATCTGGCATAGCAGGTTTCTGGTTCTGGCAGAGGTGTCTCAGGAAAGACACACGAGGGGAGGCATGAGTGTCCCGTGACTGTGTTTGCATTCAAAACCTAGCTTGTTTGCTGACTCGCCATAACAGCTTTACTATTTTTAAGTCTATAATTGCTTTCATAATCAAGCATGCTAAATGATATAGTACATTTTTCTCACACAAACAGCTGTCAGATGGTCCAGTGAGGTTACCAATCTTCATCACAACGGCTCAGAAACTAAAACTTTACAAAACATTGATTTAAGTGACACAGCTTCAAACTGAACTCATGAAAAATATAAAAAGTTATACAAGCTCTCTCCAAAACACACAGTTTGCTGTTGTCTGACCTCCAGCTAAACTTTTTTTTAAACACAGCAGATTTGTTTTTACCTTTTTTTGCTGACAAGTGATGCCACCAACACCAAAAGTGCTCTGAGGAAGACTACAACGTTAGCCAAAACTTGTCAGCAAAAAGCAGGTAAAAACAAATCTACTACTATGCTGTGTTTAAAAAAAATAAAAACAATGAGAGGATTACACAGAACGAACGTACAAAAGATCTCCAGCTAAACAATGTAAAGAATCACGCGCACACACAGGAGTAAAAGTTTCTAGCTTGTTCTGCCAACAGACTGACATTAGTTTCTCATGTAAGACAATCACGTGGTGCCAGAGCATGTAGAGATGGTCCAGACAAAGCCAAGAAAGCACTTGTGTGTTTATCAAGCTTAAACTGTTTCCACAGATGTCAATCAGGCAAAGTGACTGTGGCAGCTCCAATTAGAGAAAACACTCAGGATGGAAACAAGGGCAGTGACTAAACGTTGGCACTTGGTAACAAGGTCACAGACTATCTGTAATTCTTCAGAGGTCCATCAGAAATGTTCTCCTTTCCTTTTTTTTTAATCATTATGTGCAAAAACTCTAAAAAGATTTAGCATTTTTTATTTCCGTCGCTTTCTCCAACTTTGTGTTTGGCTTTAGTTTTCAGACATGTTTTTATTTCCATGCCAACTTTTTTCTAAATAACCTACATTGAACGCCTCATTTCTCTTTCACCGGACCACATGAATACTTTCATTCTGCAGTTTTCCTAAATTGCAGTGATTTCCTCTGAAGATTGAGTTTTTGTAAACTGGCGCTGTGACTGGAATCACCAGGCTGGGTGCTTTTAGTCTGTGTTTACATGTACCCACGTGAGCAAAACAACTCCCTGGATCTGGATCACAACAATCTGACGGGGATCTGGAGCATTCCCGGGCCACCCAGTGACGCATTTACAGCAGCCAATTCAAGGACACCTGTAACTGTCAACATGCTTCCAAACGCTGAAAACACACATGTAGCTGGAACAAAGGTTGGATCTGACACTTCAGACCTGTGAAGCCAATCTGGACCTCAGTATTTGGAGTTGTCAACAAACCCTGCAAACCCTCATTTCATCCAATTTCCCCATGACCTTGCATTTACGCGCTCAGCTGTAGAATTTCTATTTATGAGTTACTGACGACCACACAGAAAGACAGGCGAATGTGTTTTTGCACTGCAAGTTGTCAATTATGGTGATGTAACATGGGTCAAGCAAAAGTTAAATAAGCATCACACACTTAGCTGATGGTGGCAGGGTAAAGAGTGACAAAACTCTAATGTTTTTCTACTCGCGCACCAATCCAGGGAGTGTGTTTTTACCTGGAGTGATGATGATATTCTGCGCCTCTTTGATCATTTCCACAGTCTGGTCCACGTTGACCTCTGTGTGCGTTCCCGTGATCTCCATGGGCTTTCCTGTACCGGTGGAAGATGTGCCGTAACCTCCGAGGATCACGTTAGCCAGGGAACGGTTCATAGCCTGAGAGGTGAAGAATTATATTTTTATTCCCTTTGTGAGAGTGGATGAAAAACATAATAGGTTCTCTAAATAAAAATAGGTGGACAGGAGAGGAACTGCTTACCACACACATGATATAGGACAGAATGGCTCCAGATGACCCGATGAGGGCTCCCACGATGGTGAGCAGGTTGTTATTTAGCAGGAAGCCCTCCGCACACAGAGCCCAGCCTGAGTAACTGTTGAGTACGGTGATGACCACTGGCATGTCAGCACCTCCGATGGCAGCCGTCAATGTTACGCCCTAATGGAGACCGGGGGGACACGAGGCTCAAGTATTTGTTTCATTTACAATAAAATGCCGATACAGCTCAGGGCCTGTGTGTGATGTGTGTGACCCCTCCCTACATGTGGTGGGTGTCCTGTTAGCTACAGCTGTGAAATGCAAGTCTTTATTAGATTACGACAGCTCAGCCTTGAGGAGTCTGGAGAGACTCACACGTGTGTTCGCAGCCTCAGAAATCTGTCTTTTGGTCTCCAGAGGATGTCACCAGCAACAAGTTATAATGAATAAAAGTGGGAGCAAACAACCTTTGGAATAAAAGCCAAGTCTTGTATAGTTCAGACTCATGGATCACAAAAAGTTGCAACATAGTTATTTGTTTTTTTCTGTTACGTTGATCGCATCAGTGTGAAACAAGCTCACAAGGCCCAAGCATGAGTTTAGCTCTACTTTAACATTTAATGTGTATCCATAACAGCAATAATTGTAAAAAGTCTCAAATCATCCTCAACCTTTCAACTGCAGCTTATCTCCTCCAAAACATTTCATATTTTCATTAACAGAATAAATCCATCATTTGAACAGTCGTTCAACAGCAGCACGTTGATATGACCGCCATCAGCCTCGATGGGGCTAGATATCCAGAATCCGATTAATTTATTTCAGCTGACTCATCATAGACGGAGCTGAAAGTTTCCTTTTAAAACTGTGTGCAAGCTTGCAAACACACACACACACACACACACACACACACACACACACACACACACACACACACACACACACACACACACACACACACACACACACACACACACACACACACACACACAAGATTATTCATAAAAAGAAACTAAAATGGTAACATACTGGTTTCTTCTGGAATGCAGCACAAACTGTCCCCTAAATTACACCAGGTCCATGAATGTTGTGTCACAGCAGTGACATGGTTTCATCTCGTCCACCACAGTATCTCAGTCCCCACCAGGAGAGTGAAGGACTTGGAGCGGCTGGGCCATGCCTTGTCGTTCCAAGACACACTGATTGTCTCCTCGAACGAGGTCTTCGTCCATCGGTAACTACGTTATGTCTCACCATTAAGCAATTGCAATGATGCATTTGTCTTTTATTTTGAAACTAAGCAGGTACTTCACACTGACACCCTGTGCTAACTGCGGTGTCTTGTTAAAAATAGAACCCAAACCCATCTTTACCAGAGCGACAACAAGCTTCAGGGACACGTCTGACATGCACTGTGGTACGTCTGGTATAAACCACTGATTAAAACGGCGTTTATTAACACGCCGCTCGTGCACCTGGTGTAAAGTGTGGGTACGTCCTCCGCTGATTTCTCCAACTACACGTGCAACAATTGTAAAACTACAGCAAATAATTGTGAAACGTTTTCTTTACTCTTTGCATTATTTACGATTATGTTTCTCTTTTGCTTTAAATGCCCTCTTTTAGGTTTATGCACAGCAAAGCAGGAAGCAAAATCAGAGTCAGAGAGTCTCCAAAAGCAAGACCACTCAGGCCGCTTTTGTTTAATAATGGAGACACCGCGGAAAGAAGGAGCTGAGCCAGAAAGCAAGGCTCTCGATTTACCAGTCGATCTACTGCCCAGTCCTCACCTATGGTCATGAGCTTTGGGTAATGGCCGAAAGAACAAAATCGTGGATACAAGCGGCCAAAATGAGTATTCTCTGCGGGATGGCATGGGTTCCACCTTAGAGATAGGGTGAGGAGCTCGGACATTCGGGAGAGACTCGTAGAGCCGCTGCTCCTCCATATCAAGAAGAGTCAGCTGAGGTGGTTTGGGCATCTTGGTAGGATGCCTCCTGAATGCCTCCCCAGGGAGGTGTTTCAGGCATGTCCTGCCGGCAGGAGGCCCCCTGGTCGACCCAGGACACGTTGGAGAAAGAACATCTCCGAACTGGCCCAGGAATGCCTTGGGGTTCTGCCGGAGGGGAGGAGCTTGCTAGTTGGGATGCTGCTCCCGCGACCCAGATAGGCGGAAGAAGACGAGACATCGCAGATTTTTCTGCGCTCATTTTCCCTGCTCACGTGCTTTGAGATGTACTCACATCACAGACCACAGACCGCCCATGTGCTCAATCACATCCACATTCCTAAGGCAGTGTTGAACAAACGCGGCCAGACTGGGTCGGGTGGGCAGAGTGGAATGGAGCTGATGCTAGTGTGTGACCCCGGGTTTCCACAGGAGCCATCAGCAGCACGTTACTGCAGCAGCACGTCTTGCTCGCGTAAGCTGCTGCTTGGCCCTTCCCACGAGACGCGAAGCAGCAGGGGAGCAGCTGTCACCGACAGAGCACGAAGTCACACGAGTGACTTCGTCAGTAAACACAACAACAAGCAGGAGAAAACTACAACATGGCTCCAAAAGGTTTGTGTTTTATGTTCTGTCCGTTTTATAATCGCCAATACGGACCTGAAAAACAAAGGAGACCGCTAGCTAGGTGATAACTTCTCACGGGGACGCACAGTTAGTAACTTTTCTTAAAAGTAAAGCAACCGGAAGGCAGTACATTTCTTTATTCTGAAAATCTCGGGAGCTTCTCTCCATTTCCTCGTCCGATTTCCTGTCTTTCCTACCCCAAAAATGTTGAACTTGACCCATTTCAGAGGCGTCGTGCGTATTAAATAGAACCGGCGCGTAAAGGCCGCGACATGTTGCTCCTGAGACGCGGCTGACTCGCGCTGCTGACGGCTCCGGTGGAAAAGGTTCTGTTGACCACAGCAGTTCCTATCAGCAGCTATGACGTGCTGCTGCAGCAACGTGCTGCTGACGGCTCCTGTGGAAAGCAGGGGTGAGTGGCAATAGTTAACCGGTTAACCGATTAATTGCCGTTAATGTTGTAATCGGGTAAAATATATTTGCTCGGGCTAAATGCTTCAAGTCCTTCTGCGTGCTTGGGGGTAATATATTTTGTGCCACTAGAGGTTGGTTTCTGGTTAACCAGCTGTTAACCATTAAGGGGCTTCAATAACTGGCTATGGAAATTTTGGAAAACATGCCCCAAATCTGGTAACTTTCTGCACTGTAACTTCTCCCCCTTTAAGTTTAACTTTGTTTCTTTTTAATTTTTAAATTGTATTTTCTATCATGTTGATTTTAATGTTCTTGCTATTCTTACTAAAGAAAAGCACATTGAATTGCCTTTGTGTATGAAATGTGCTATATAAATAAAGCTGCTCTGCTTTGCCTCTTTACCTGCTTAACAGGCTGTTAGCTGTTATGCTAGCAGTTGGTATTTTCAGTTTACCAATCATCAATAAAAAGCACAAGAAGAAGAAAAAAGTTTGCTTTTTCTGTTGGCATCATGGTAGAACCTGGAAGTAAAAGTAAGAGAGTCATGCCTTTGGAGGCAAAGAGCTAAAACCAGAGTGAACATCAGCGTGGCCTACACTAGTTTGAGGGAGCTACAAAACCACGGACTGATGGTGACCTGGCTTTGTTGCTGCTGGACTTGTAAGAAATAATATTTTTTGTCTAACGGTGTGGATCTTTTTACGTTGTGGTTTATTTTAGTATTAGTTGGCTCGTGCTTGTGTTAGCTCGTTGTTATTGCTAGCTACAGTAGGCTGCAGCAGGGTTGTTTATGACCGTTATAATTCAACTTTCAACCAGTAGGGCAGAGAAGCAGGAAACTCCTCGGCGTTACTTTAATGCTTTTTTAAACCCTTCTGTTGCTGACATTTTTCATATCCCATTATGTTTCCACCATATTTTTATGTTCCTAAAACTTTAAAATAATTTTTCACTCCCAAATATTTTAGTTGCATGTTCACATGTTGACCAGTCAGAGAGTGGGTTCATTTAGGTCCACTGCATTTAAATCAAGTATTTCACAAAAAAGACCCATGCTGAGAGCAGATCTAAGAAATGCATGCATGCAGCATACCATAATAGCAGAGAGAGCAGAAACTGATCCGAGGCAAGTCATGCCTGTGGTATAGCTCGGATCCAGCAAGTAGGGAACCATCCCACCAATGCTACCCGCCAGGAGAGTGGCGTTGAGAGCGTGACGAGCTGGGAGCATCAGAGGAGCGCTGTTCAGCAGACCTGAGGAAAAACAGCAGGGAGGAAGTGGAGGAAATAAAACTGAAAGATATGACGATAAAGGCTAATACACAACCTATGTGAAGAAATTAAAAAGTGATTTGACTTGTTGATTGTGCACAGTCTGGCAGACACAGGACAACAAAGGGGTTTAAATCCTGCAACCAACCACAGGCCCGTTTTTTACTTTTCTCACCTTGTAGCTTGCCGTATGCCACCAGAGAGCCACTGAAAGTGATTCCACCAATGAAGGTACCAAGGTAGGCGACAATCTTAGTGAGGTTAGCTGCAGGATCCGTGGCGAAGTGGGGGTACTCGATCATATATTCAGCCACACAGGTGAGCACGGCAGCCAGTCCAACCAAACTGTGGAACGCTGCCACCAGCTGGGGCAAGTCAGTGATCTGGATCTTCTTAGCAATGGCCAAGCCTGGGAATGGACATAAAAATACAGGGGAATAAATAAAGTGCTGTGCACCCGTAAAGGTCCCATGCAAATCACAAGCTTGTGCACACACATACACTCAAGAGGGCTGCTGGGAAGTAGGCCCATGTGAAAAGCCAGGTGCTGCTGATGAAGCCTGCTTCAGGAATTTCCAGGTTCTCTTTCTTAACATTCGTTTCGATGTCTCACTATGGGATACGCCCCTCCGCGGATTCCTCAGAAGCACTTATCTCAATACGCCAATCCTGATTGGCCAGTGACCGTGACGTACGCGTCCCCCTGCTACTATAAGTAGCAAGCGTCCCCACGTACGCACTATTCAATCACCTCTTCTCGCTTCGGTGGTCGCTTATCTCTGAGGTAAGTTAGCTCAACTGTTCACAGACGGAGCCTTCTAATATTCTCTCCGTCGCCGAACGTTAACTTACCGTCCTTCTGTCCTGACCTTCACCATAGGTTCGGGGCATAACGAGCAGCTTCACACTCCAGTGCACCTGTTCGCTCTCTGCTAACACACCAGTTAGCCTACATGGAAGCCGCTCCTCCCACCAGAGGAGTCGATGGCTCAGGAGCTCGCCTCTGTACCTGTGGGAACAAAATCTCAAGCAAAGACCCGCACAAGGTCTGCTCGAGCTGCCTCGGGCTGGAACACGCCCAGCTGGCATTGGAAGTCCCCGGGTCATGTGAGAACTGTGCCTGCTTCACCCTGAAGAGCCTTCGCCGGCGGCTAGCGCGCCAAGCTAGCCTGTCGGGGAAGGACCCTTGCCTGCCGGCCCCTGGGCCACCGCCTGGGGACGCCAGCGAACATGCCCTCCCGGAGCCGGAACCGTGTGCCGAACTCAGCTGGGGCTCACAGCTCGAACTGGCCGGTCCGAGCCACCCCGTCGAGGACGTGTTGGAGTTGGACTACGGAGACGACGAGGACACCTCGGAACTCCTCATTTCAGAGGAGGACGAGGATGACGACGTCTTTCTCCCCGTCGCTCAGGCCTCCATGCCTAGCTTTCCGTCCTCTCCCAGGGATGGAGCGGCTTCTCCGGCCGCTCACCTGGACATGCAGTCAGTCTGCCGACGCGCTGCGACCAGGCTCAACATCCCTTGGCCCACCGTGGTCACTGAGGCTGTCAGGTCCCGCTACGAGGGTAAGAAGCTGCCTCAGGCCACAAGGGCGGCAAAGCCCCTCCTTCCCGCCTTCCCGGAGCCTCTCCAAGAAGTGAGGTCCTCCTGGGACAAACACCCTTTCAGCTCAAGGTCTCCGGTCCAAGGAACCTCCTCGCTGGACTTCGAGGGGATGGAGAGGGCTGGCATGCTTCGCATGCCGCCGATGGAACCGCTGGTTGCAGCCCACCTGCACCCACGACTCTCGGCAACTTCCTCCAGGCCTCCCGCTCTCCCTGTAAAGGCGGACCGCTTCCAGTCGGCGCTGAACGAGAGGGCGTACAAGGCTGCCGCCATCTCGGTCCGAGCTTTGAATGTCTCCTCCATGCTCTCAGCGTACCAAGCCGAGCTCTGTGAGGACATGAATACGAAGCCGGACCCGGAGGTGTGGGAGGAAATCACCGTACTGACCGACATCTGCCTGCGGGTGCAGCGCTGCGCGGTCCAGGCTACGGCGAAAGCTATGGGCATGATGGTGCTTCAGGAACGTGCACGTTGGCTGAACCTCACCAACCTCTCTGATAGAGAGAAGGAGGACATTTTGGACATGCCAATCGTGCCTGAAGGCATTTTCGGCTCTGCCCTGGTATCGATGCAGCAACGGTGTGAGGCCAAAAAGAAAGAGGATGAAGCCCTTCATCTCTGCCTTCCCCGTAAGCCTTCACCGGCACTGCCGGCTCGGCCGAACCTTCCTCAGGCAATACCCCGAGCCCAGCCTCAGTTCCGGATCCCAAAGCGCCCGAAGCCTCAAGCTGTCCAACCAGCTCCCTCGGGCTCAGCGCCTCGACCAGTGTGGCCTCAGCGATCCGGCAACTACGCTGCTCCGCCGCCGGGACAATCCACCCGACCCGGCGGTCAGCAGGTGAGGAAGAAGAAGAGGGCAGCCTGTCGGAGTTCTTTCCCTCCCGACGCTGCAGCTGGCAGTTCCCCGTTCGCCAGCCCCTCCTGTTCAACGTTGCCATGGTGCTTTCTCCCCCCCTCACGGAACCCCTCCGGCAGAGTCCCCGAGCGGTCCAGGGTGGGGCCAGGACGTGCAGCCGGCTGTGCCGGCTCAGAACACACGTCACAAGCACTCACATTGTTGTTTTTCACAAACATGTCACGCTCAAGGAGCATTAAAACGTTCGCTGCCGCATCCAGACAAAATGTCAAGGGCGCAGCAAAAATCAATAAAAATGTTACCCATGAGCGGTCCCAGGCGGGGTCGGCCCCTGGCGGACTTTCTAGCCAGCCACGGGTCGTCCCCGTACACCTGGGCCGTCAAAGCACAAAGCCCCCGCGCATGCGCAGTGGTTGCCACGAGCACTGCTGCCCCACAACCTCTGGGGGGAGCTGGTGCTCCGTGTGTCACGGCTGTGTCACCGCTCTCAACTCACATGGAGGAATGGACAGCGGTTTCTGCTTCACATTGGGTGATAAGAACTATTTCGAGGGGTTACAGGCTCCATTTCGCCTCAGTTCCTCCTCGATTCTCCGGCGTAGTGTTCTCCCACGCCCGGGGGTCGTCAGCTCACATCCTTCAGGGAGAAATCTCCTCCCTGCTGGAGAAGGGAGCGATATGCATTGTGCCTCCCGATCGGTCTCAGAGCGGTTTCTACTCCAGGTACTTCCTGGTCCCGAAACGGGGAGGGACCGGGATTCGCCCGATCCTGGATCTGAGGGCCCTGAACCGATGCCTCAGAAAGTACAGATTCAAAATGCTCACGCTCTCATCCCTTTTGCGTCTGATTCACCAGAACGACTGGTTCACCTCAATCGACCTGAGGGACGCATACTTTCATATTCCCGTGTACCCTCCACACAGGAAATTTCTGAGGTTTGCCTTTCAGGGAGTGTGTTACGAATACACCGTGCTCCCATTCGGCCTCTCGCTGAGCCCGAGGGTGTTTGTCAGGTGTACGGAGGCGGCGATCACCCCTCTGAGAGGGAGGGGCATTCGACTGGCCACATATTTAGACGACTGGCTCCTGCTGGCACGGTCCAGAGAGGAGACAGCGTCAAACACGCTGGTTGTGATCCGTCACTTGTGTGGTCTGGGTTTCAGAATAAACTGGCAGAAAAGCGCTTTACTCCCCTCCCAGAAAATAACCTTTCTAGGTCTGAATCTGGACTCAGGGGCGTTCACGGCCCGTCTCTCGACACCGCGCGTGGACGCGCTCTCGCTCTGCCTGGCGCGCTTCCGCCTACACAGTTCGGTGCGGTTTGCGTTATGCCTCAGGCTGTTGGGTCTCATGGCGTCGGCTATTTCAGTGGTACCACTCGGCCGTCTACACATGAGAGATTTTCAACGCTGGGTGGCTTCTCTGGGTCTCTCTCCAGTGCGCCACAGAGCGCGCAGGGTGACGGTCTCTGCAGCGTGCGTCGCGGCGCTCCGCTGTTGGCGTCACCCCTCCCTCTTGGCACAAGGGGTGCCTTTGGGGTTGGTTCTCGTGAGGAAAGTGGTCACGACAGATGCGAGCCTGTCAGGTTGGGGGGGGCTCCTGGAGGGTCGCTCTGTCAGGGGTGTGTGGAGCAGAGAGCTCTGGGGGACACACATAAATTATCTGGAACTCCTCGCGGTCTTTCTGGCCCTGAGGCGCTTCCTGCCTTTTCTGTCCGGCCATCATGTCCTAGTGAGAACAGACAACACCACGACTGTGGCATTTATAAACCGCCAGGGGGGGCTGCGCTCCATGCGGTTACACACACTGGCACGCAGACTGATCCTATGGTGCAGCAGGCATCTCCTCTCAATCAGAGCCACCCACGTCCCGGGTGTTCTGAATCGGGGGGCGGATCTGTTGTCCAGAGGGACACCCCTGTACGGGGATTGGAGACTGCATCCAGCAGTGGTGGAACAGATTTGGATCCGGTTCGGCACAGCCGTAGTGGATCTTTTTGCCTCCAAGGAGAATGCTCAGTGTCCTCTGTTCTTCTCCCTGCGCGACCGAGACGCTCCACTCGGCGTGGACGCGCTGGCGCACGACTGGCCACGGGGTCTGCTTTACGCTTTTCCCCCAGTGGCCCTGATACCATCCACCTTGCTGAGGGTACGAACCCAGCGCCACACTCTCATTCTGGTGGCCCCATTCTGGCCAGCCATGCATTGGGTGGCGGACATTTTCCAGCTCCTGGAGGGCCAACCTTGGAAACTGCCGCTTCGCAGGGACCTGGTGTCCCAAGCGGGAGGCTCGATCTTCCACCCTCATCCAGAACGGCTGGCCCTGTGGGCCTGGCCCCTGAGGGGTGCGGACTAGTGTCAGCAGAGCTGCCCCAGGCAGTCATTCGAACCATTCAGAATGCTAGGGCCCCCTCCACTAGGTCCCTATATGACTGTAAATGGAGGGTGTTTGAAGCCTGGTGTCAGGGCAGGGAGGTCTCACCCTTCCAATGCCCGGTGAACGTCATTCTGTCTTTCCTGCAAGACTTGTTGGATGGGAAGAAGGCTTTCTCCACCATTAAAGTGTACCTAGCAGCCATTTCCGCCCGACACTTGGGTTTTGGGAAGAAACTGGCAGGTCAACACCCCCTGGTGTGTAGCTTCATGAAGGGCGCGCGCAGGCTTCTCCCTGTGTCTCGACCCTTGGTGCCCTCATGGGATCTGTCCTTGGTGCTGTCGGCCCTCTCCGGGCCTCCATTTGAACCTATGGACGGCCTGGACCTTAAGATCCTGTCTCTTAAGGTGGTGCTACTCCTGGCTTTGGTATCTGCAAAGCGAGTTAGTGAAATACAGGCTCTCTCTGTGCACCCATCCTGCGCCCAGTTTGCACCCGGTGACATGAAGGTGTCCCTGAAGCCCAACCCTGCCTTTGTGCCTAAGGTGGTGGGCTCCTTTTCTCCTATTATCCTCACAGCTTTCTACCCGCCACCCTTCTCCTCTCCTGAGGAGGAGCGGTGGCACAAGCTGTGTCCGATTCGCGCGCTCAAGGAGTATGTGAATCGGACGGAGAACCTTCGCAGGGGGGACCAGCTTTTTGTGTCATGGGGTGGGCCTCGTAAGGGGAAACCCGTCACAAAGCAGAGGCTTTCCCACTGGATTGCGGAGGCTATTTCTATGGCTTACTCCTGTCAGGGCATTCAGGCTCCTGTTGGGCTCAGGGCCCATTCTACTAGGGGCCTGTCTGCTTCTTGGGCCCTTTTTCGGGGGCTGTCAATCCAGGAGATTTGTGCTGCAGCAAGTTGGGCTTCTCCACTTGCATTTGCACGCTTCTATAAGCTTGATGTTTCGGTCCCTGCAATGACTCACACGATTCTGAGTGTGGGGCCTTTGGCTGGCCAAGACGTATCCCTGTAGGTTGGTGATCGTTGGATAAGCTGTCTGGCAATACGGGAGTCTCCATATCCCATAGTGAGACATCGAAACGAATGTTAAGAAAGAGAACTTTAGGTTACTGTCGTAACCCCGGTTCTCTGAGTAACATGAGTGAGATGTCTCACCAGACAACCCTTCTTGCTGGGCGAAGCGAGAAGAGGTGTTTATCTTGAATAGTGCGTACGTGGGGACGCTTGCTACTTATAGTAGCAGGGGGACGCGTACGTCACGGTCACTGGCCAATCAGGATTGGCGTATTGAGATAAGTGCTTCTGAGGAATCCGCGGAGGGGCGTATCCCATAGTGAGACATCTCACTCATGTTACTCAGAGAACCGGGGTTACGACAGTAACCTAAAGTTTTTCCCCTGGTCTAAAATGTGCCTTTGTGTGCATGTGTGTGTGTGTGTGTGTGTGTGTGTGTGTGTGTGTCTGTGTGTCTGTGTGCGTGTGTGAGCACTCATGCCCAACAGGAAGCCTTTCAACACTGGTGGATCTGGAAAACAGCATTATTATCTGTGTGGATAGTTTAGTCTGGTTTTCAGCTTTGTTACTGGAACAATTAGCATTTAAATGATGGAGCTGCTCTGAAGCAGAGAGAGAAAGTGCGTAATATCTGATTCGAATCACTCCGACAGCCCTCCTGTCTCTGGTGAGTTAGTCATGTTGTGTTTGATGTCAACATCAGAAACTCTGAACACACCTGTTTCTTCTTTCAGAGTCTGGAATACATGCATACAGACACAAACAACACAGAACCCACACACACACACACACACACACACACACACACACACACACACTCACCAGCACTGCCACCTACAGCCATGGCTGCACTCATCTGTGCCAGGAGCTCAGGGTTGGGTTTGAGAGCCCCCAGAGTGGCAGCCAGGCCCCCCGCCACTCCGATCATGCCCAGAGCGTTTCCCAGCCGAGCCGTGGTCTGGTTAGAAAGGCCAGCGAGGGCACCGACACAACACAGGCCTGAGCCCAAGTACATCATCTGTTGAAAGAAAGACCGTTGAGGATCGGGATAAAAAGTGGAAAAAAGGTTCAATGGTTTTAGTTGGACAGTTCGACACAACATCTGGACAAATGCTGAACATGTTTGGAGGTTTGGATAACTCCTATGGTCTGTTTTTGTTCCATTTCTGTGGAACAAAAACCACAAATACTTTTCTACATGTAGTGTAACATTTCATTGCACCTGTTCAATGTTGTATCCAGAGTGCAGAGCAGCAGCATAGCCTCCGACGAAGACTCCACCAGGAAGCAGGTACAGGTAGTTGTGCTCCGGAGGATCGGTGGGACGTTTAAACATGTCCAACATCTTCTGGGTTACCAGGAAACCACCTGTGAAAAACAGAAAGAAAGAATAATAAAAATACACTTGTACTTACACTGGTACTAAATTAGGTTTCAGAGCGCAGATGGAAAAAAACTTGGCAGTCGAGGCACCTGGAAAAGGTCAACAGGTGTTGCAAAATCAACAGCTGAAAGGTTTTTGCCAAGTCCAATAACCAAAGTCAGGAATTTAATGAGTCTACTTTATGTCAGGATAAATATTTCAAATAGAAAACCTCAGAAGTGTTAACCTAGGACCAGACAGTGTCTCACTGCTTTACAGGAAAATCTCACATTACCATGTGCAAGTCTCTATTCTCCCCTCTGGCATGACGGCAACCACATGAGCACACATGAACCCTCAGAAACGAGGGTGAATCAGAGGTTAGCGTCACTTTCTGTCCGGCACGGGTAACTTTAGCCAAGAATATCCGAGATAGAGCATGGAATAATAATTCCATTACCGTCTTTACAGTTCTGCAAACATGCCCAAGTCAATTATTTTAATTGGAAGAATGTGTTGCTGTAATACAATACCATTCACCTATTTGTTTAGAGTTTTTATTTTAATTATTATTTATCAATACATTGAATCCACTGATCTCCTATTAGAAATAAATGCATCAAGAGTTAAAGACAATGAGGCCTAAAATCTAAAAGGACTCCAAACATGACCATGTAAAGCCTGATTTATACTTCTCCGTCGGCGCAATGGCTCTCCGACAGGCTCACAGAGGGTGACGGAGACATGCCCAAAGTTTTAAACATCTGTCCAAAGTGACGGAGACCGCAAGCTTGTGATTGGTCAGGACATCGCTTCCTGTAAATTCGTCACCAGCACCGCTGTAGCTCCGTTAAAAAGTAAATAGATATTTAGCAGCAGACACAGAACAGAATGAAGAACGCATTACAGAAAAAGTCAGAAGATATGAACATTTATTCACCCGTGACTGAAGGAGTACAAAATACGGAGCAAACGTGAACGGAAACGAAGGAAAATGTGAGTTTAAAGGTGGTGACCGCATGAAGAGGTGAAGGAGAACAAAGGACAAATTTGTCCGTGTTATAAAGTTTCTGAAATACATAAACACATTAGTAAATACACCATTGTGCACCGGATATGTGACTGTAATGGTGGCAGGATACCCCAGAAAAGCGTTACCCCCTCTGATGTCCTGGGGGGGAGATTGCTTTGCAACACTCCCTAGATGACAGAGAAGTCTGATGAGAAAACATCTCCCATCACTGCGTGTGCACAACTCAACACTCGAGCTGACGGATAAGTATAAATTAGGCTTTAAAAGAAAAGAAAGAAAGAAAGAAAGAAAGAAAGAAAGCTTTTATTTAGTGCCTCTCAAGATAAAAACCACGAGGCGCGTCACAAAAACAAAAATAAAAGAGGTGTAAAAAAGATTTTTTAAATAAAGGCACAAAATGTTTAAAATGAGAAAAATAAAATTGTGATGAAAGGAAAATACATTTTTTTTGTGGCTGGAGGTCCTCGTCATTGGCAGGGATCACTGCAAGGTGCTTATTGGGGTGACTCACCAGCAATGTTGACTGAGGAGATGAAGGCAGCGAGCACGGCCAGCGTCTCCGCAGTACTAGAAGGCAAGTAGCCCCCCCCCATCAGGGACAGACCACCCACAGCTGTCAGACCTGCAGACAACGTCAGAGTTTACAAAATTACATTTTCATATTAAATGGTTCAGGGAAAGTCTGGTGAATTACATAATAATTAAACAGGAACTTTGAGTAATAAATCTATCATTTAGTTATTATTTGTTTATCAACACTTCCACACACGCTCCTCTCAGAACCCAGTTATCCTGCCAGAGTGGAAAAACAGAAAAAAAAATTGTAATTTTGTGATAAAAAAGAAAAAGGAAAGAGTATGTGTGTGTGTTTAACCAAAATAGGTTCAGGAAACCTTGATAAGATCATCCCCTGTAATGATTTACAGGCAGTAAGATGCAACGTGGCACCGAGAGCCGGTGTTCACACGGACATGAGTGCAGTTTGGGTTGACTAACAGGTGTGTTTTCTCTGGATGGATAAAATCCAAAGTTAGACTTTCCTTTGGAGGAAAAAACAAGTGGAAATACGGCCAATTTCTGCTGCCAAAAACCAGCTTTAGAATCCTCTTTGTTTATCGGATCCTATGTGGAGTTTCCAATGTTGCCAAACATAGTTTCTCAACTCCTATAATGTAATTACAAGCTCATTTAAAACCTGTGATGAAACCAAGGAGATGATCACAGCAGGAAACACCAAAAAGATATTGTGTAAGGAGACAATCTGCCAGAGTTCTCCAAACATCTGTACTTTAAAGACTTAAACCACTGAAGCTGTGTCAGTCCTTCATACTGCATAAATTCACACACTGATCCAATTCTTATCTCTGAAGTGTTTAATACAACGGGCAGGGCCGGTCTTAACATACAGGTGCTGGCCAGTAAATTAGAATATCATCAAAAGGTTGAAAATATTTCAGTAATTCCATTCAAAACGTGAAACTTGTACATTATATTCATGCAATGCACACAGACCAATGTATTTCCGATGTTTATTACGTTTAATTTTGATATTTATAGGTGACAACCAATGAAAACATCAAATCTGGTATCTCAGAAAATTAGAATATTCTAAAGGCCAATGAAAAAATTTTTGTTTCTCTAATGTTGGCCAACTGAAAAGAATGAACATGAAAAGAATGTGCATGTATAGCACTCAATACTTAGTCGGGGCTCCTTTTGCCTCAATAACTGCAGTAATGCGGCGTGGCATGGACTCGATCAGTCTGTGGCACTGCTCAGGTGTTATGAGAGCCCAGGTTGCTCTGATAGTCGTCTTCAGCTCCTCTGCATTGTTGGGTCTAGCGTATTGCATCCTCCGCTTCACAATACCCCATAGATTTTCTATGGGGTTAAGGTCAGGCGAGTTTGCTGGCCAATCAAGGACAGGGATACCATGGTCCTTGAACCAGGTGCTGGTGGTTTTGGCACTGTGTGCAGGTGCCAAGTCCTGTTGAAAGGTGAAGTCTGCATCCCCATAAAGTTGGTCAGCAGCAGGAAGCATGAAGTGCTCTAAAACTTCCTGGTAGACGGCTGCATTGACCCTGGACCTCAGGAAACAGAGTGGGCCAACACCGGCAGATGACATGGCACCCCACACCATCACTGACGGTGGAAACTTTACACTGGACCTCATGCAACGTGGATTCTGTGCTTCTCCGCTCTTCCTCCAGACTCTGGGTCCTTGATTTCCAAAGGAAATGCAGAACTTGCTTTCATCAGAAAACATAACTTTGGACCACTCAGCATCAGTCCAGTCCTTTTTGTCCTTGGCCCAGGCGAGACGCTTCTTGCGCTGTTTCTTGTTCAAGAGTGGCTTGACACACGGAATGCGACACCTGAATCCCATGTCTTTCATGAGTCTCCTCGTGGTGGTTCTTGAAGCGCTGACTCCAGCTGCAGTCCACTCTTTGTGGATCTCCCCCACATTTTTGAATGGGTTTGTCGTCACAATTCTCTGCAGGGTGCGGTTATCCCTAGAGCTTGTACACTTTTTTCTACCACATTTTTTCCGTCCCTTCGCCTGTCTGTTAATGTGCTTGGACACAGAGCTCTGCGAACAGCCAGCTTCTTTAGCAATCACCTTTTGTGTCTTGCCCTCCTTGTGCAAGGTGTCAATGATTGTCTTTTGGACAGCTGTTAAGTCAGAAGTCTTCCCCATGATTGTGGTGCCTTCAAAACAAGACTGAGGGACCTTTTAAAGGCCTTTGCAGGTGTTTTGAGTAAATCAGCTGATTAGAGTGGCAGCATGTGTCTTCTATATTCAGCCTTTTCAGAATATTCTAATTTTTTGAGATACCAAATTTGGAGTTTTCATTAGTTGTCACTTATGAATATCAAATTTAAATGTAATGAACATTGGAAATACATTGGTCTGTGTGCATTGCATGAATATAATGTACAAGTTTCACGTTTTGAATGGAATTACTGAAATATTTTCAACCTTTTGATGATATTCTAATTTACTGGCCAGCACCTGTAATAATACAAATATCTGTTTTTGAGTTCGCAAAAGTATTTATGGAAGAAAAAACAGGAAAAAACCCAAAAAATCATTTATGTTCTACATATTTTATTAGATCTTTATTTAAAATTGTTGTGTTGTTGGAGATAAGGATAAATATGTGCGAATGTATAAAAATGACTTGACAGGCTTAAGGTTTAATGCAATAGGTGTATCAGACAGAAACCAACCTGAGATGGCATTGGTGACAGACATGAGGGGAGAGTGCAGAGCAGGAGTGACTCCCCACACCGTGTGGTATCCCACAATTCCAGCGAGACCGAAGGTGGTGACGATCTGAGTGAAGGCGGCGTTGGGAGCGATCAAGCCCAAACCCAGCAGGGTGGAGATACCTGGGACAGAACGAGAAGATAAAACGTCTGAGCGAATGAGGCAGCTGGAGATGCCCGTTAGGAACGTCTAATGTTTGATTCTGACAGAATTACTGACTGAATAAGGTCAAAGAGGCTGAAGAATGAGCCTTTAATGCAGGGGTCTCCAACACATCGGTCGCTCGTGACGCACTTGAAGGTTGCTCGCCTGGAAGCAGCCAGCAGCCACCCTGCCTGACTAAATTTGATGGCAAGCCTTCTCAGTTTTTGTAATATCTAATCTAAAATTAGCATTTTGTGGAAATTAAATAAAAATCTGATTATTGCACAAATCTTTCGCCAAACATGTTCTACTGGAAATAAGCGGATTAATTGCTCAGGTTGCAGCACGGATCCCCGTTTCTGTTAACTTAGATCAGCGGCTGCAGCTGCAGGTGGATGAAGACACGCTGCTAAAGAAGATGGAGGACAACTGCTATAGAGACCTGGTTTCAGAAAAACATCCTCTGGGAAACAGTAAAGTCTTATCTGCGGTAACCAACTGGGTCGCAGTACATTGTTGATTGACACATCAAATAGAAAATGAAATTTGAAAAACAATCTCAAGCAAGAGGAACCTTCATGGTCTGCTTCCACAAAGTGGACTAGAATTATCGTCTATTTTGTTTATCTAAATGTCACTTAAACGAATGTTGTCGGCCATCATCCTTTTTAGGACTGATGACTATGGTTTAGAAGAATGTTCTGTATCGCCCAGCCTTCGTATGCTATAAAGATTAAATGTGTTAACTAATCTTTATAAGGGCATATGAAAAACAACCTCCTCATGCGTGACAGTAAAGCTCCAGAAGTGATGAGAAAAGTAAAGCAGTCATCATCTGTAGCTGTGAGGTGGAACTAAGTAGGAGACATCGCTAACTCTGAGACAATGTGTGAACCACGCTAACGACATGTGGTGCTCTTACAGAGCTCTGTGATCCACTAGGAGGAACCCTCGCTACACTTCAAACAAACAGCATGAAACCATTTTTACAATGTACACTTCCTGACACTAACAGGGCGCCTGAGTATGTGAGCGTCCTCTCTATATGCCTGTCACTTCACATCTCCTGCACACATTCCAGCCGAGACTTAAAAAGCAGCTTGTTAACCCATCCTTCACCTTAAAGCAGACCCCAGCATCCCCGAAGACCCGCTGGCTCACAATTAAAAGACATGAAAGAGCAACCTCCAGACATATACTTCACTCTGATTCAGCATCTTTGTGTTCTATTAGAGGATAAAAACCATTTTCAGACTGATCTGTGAGGACTAACCTGCAGTGTACATGCCAGCTGAGGTTAAAGTAGCCCTGAAGGGGGAGATCTGCGCTGCCTTCTCCGCCTGCAGTTCTTGGACAGTCTTGGATTTAGGAGGAGCTGCGATGGGAACGTTGTTTGGCTGAGGAGCTGGGAACAGGTTCTTTCCATTCTAGAGGAGGGAAAAATAACCGCACACACCAGGATGAGAATAGACGTGTTTCCAATGTCGGAATGTCAGGGTAAATTCTGGGAAGGGGACATCGATTGGAAGATAAGACGGCCCGGTCCTCTCAGATGTTGCGTCTCCAGACAATTTCAGCTCTTTCAGAACTTTGCACAGATGTCAGCATATCGTGACTGCTTCGACAGCAAGTGATGTCACTGAGCAGTGCTACAAACCGTCCACCGTAACATTAACAACAGTAAACAGTTTTATTCTGTCAAAGTACAGAAGCACACCATTCAGAGGGCGAGAGAAACTGTGTGATGTGGTGTTCAATGACTGGAAGAAGCTCTGTTTTTTACGGCACTCTGTGAGGCAACAAAGCATCATAAATTACTCTGTTGTGTATTCTACAGTTTTTTTGTGTTCGGAGTTTAGTAATGGTAATTTTAAACCAGCGTGATCCGTGTCTATTTGCTTTGTTGTAGGTGGCGTCTGCCGATGTCATTTCCTACTGAGCTACAGCCAATCAGCATGAGTTGACCAGAAGATTGGGAACGCCAGGCTGAGTAGCTGAGCCAATCAGGTACTTGGAAAGTTCCTGGGAAATTGTCCCGGAAAATGGACGTTCGGCCGGCCTGGTGAAGTGGAGACACGTGCGTGGCGGGAAGTTTCCGACAATGGAAACATGCCAATTAGGAGCAAATAACTAGAATCACTATACAAAATGGTGGAAATTGTTTTCATTTGGAACATTCCAGTTTTATTTCAAGTCTCAGCCCGAGATCCCTGTATACACATTATTTACCTGGATGGTATAATACACCTTGTTCTGTTTCGAATGCCATCAAATGAATGCCCAAACACTAAATGAACAGGACTGTGTCAACATGTCTGCTCGTGGCAGAGGTTTAAAAGTGGAAAATGAAAGTAGTCAAAAAGCCATTTGTAATGTTTCTAATATGATCAAGTTGGTAGAGACGGAAAAAGATTAAATGACAATTTTTAGACATTAAATGTTTAAACACACGGTAGAAGATAAATCCTCGATTCGAGGCTCTGCAGAAGCACAAGAAAGAGACTCGCTAGTTAAAAGGAAGCAGTGACTGAATCCATCGTTTTTTTTTAACCCTTGACTCTGATATTAAATATTATATGCAGCGCTATTAGGCATGTGCAAGAGTTTTAATACATTTTAAAAAGATGTTTTTTTATCACAAAAATGTCAAATCCAAAAAGTCTATATCCAGCGTATGAGCTGTTCATCCCCTTTCCTACAGGCACAACATTGAGCTGCCTCAAAGCCTGAACAACAAGACTGAGGAACAGCTTCTTCTGTGGCTTTGATGCTCAGAAGCTGATCTCTGCACCATTTCACCACAGTATGATTCAAGATGTTCATTTCTTTATGCAAGACTGAGTGAATTATTTGCTCTCCCTTGTCTCTAATGTGCAAATAATAATGACAATAATAAACAAACCCAAAGGCTAAGGTTTTTTTTTCCTTTCATCATAAGATTGGTAACCAGGATCCAGCAGGTAAACTGCCTAGTTTCCCCCAGAAATGCAGAAAAGAAAAGGTGTGTGTGGACATAGGGTGACATCTAGTGGCAAAGACCAGAACCTACACCGTTTAGATTGTTTACATCAGCCCTTTTCAAATACAATTTAAACTGGAATACATGCTGGTTCCTGGCACACGAGAACATCATACCTGCATGACAATAGATCCTCTGACGACATGATCCATGGTGCCGTAGTCAAACGCGTCCTTGACATCGAGGTAAAAGTTGTCCTTGTCTGGGCTGATTGCTCTAATCAGCTTAGTGATGTTGTTGGAGTACAGGGTGCTGGACTGTGTTGGTAAACGGCTGGGCAGGTCTGTGTAGCCAATGTGGGTCACACCCTGACAATAAGTACATGTAAATACAAAACTAAATACATCAAAATGTTTTATATGTGTGTGCTTACTAAAGAGCAACCACAATCTTTCTTCTGTTGCCGATTTGTGCTGCTGATTTTTTTTGCTAATTTCCATGACTGATATCTAGACGTTTTCCTCCTTCCCTGCACCCTAATAACAACAGTGGATGTGCAACATTTCTGACCTAACCCGTTTTCCTACTCTTGAATTTATTATTTGCACTGCATTAAAATTAAACATTTAATCAATCAAATAAATAAACTGACCAAAGATGCAATTTGTGAGAATGAAGTAAGAATGTCATCCAGTGGTCAAATTTGGTTACTGCAGTCGATTTTTCTAAACAAAAGTGACTCTCTCACTCTTGGTCGGCATTCTTCATGGCTGTTGCCAGTTACGGATCAGCACTAGAAGACTCTAGACAACAAGCAAAAACGAGCCATAAACACAAAGTCGATAAGTAGATAAATACATTGACATATCTGGTGTTGGCACTCTAGGGTGTATTATGGCACTTACTAGACTTATTACGGTAGTAAAATGCCACAGTTGACTTATTATTCACTTAAACATTTCACTGTAATATCTAGTTGTTGATAATTGAAAAAGGAGCTTGAGATATATTTGGGGCAGACTATTTATTTTGCTAATTCACCATTTGAATTGTTAGCTAAATGTTTGCCTCTAGCCTTCTTTACCTAATACTGTACTAGAGTTAAACAAAAAAGATGGCATGGCTACTAATGGCTACAAGAAATAACTTCTGAGTCGCTCTTGTTTACTGGTTTTGGTTCTTTAAACAACTCAGGAGCTTTTTGCCAGTTGTGTTGAATTACAGATGCCGGTGCTGCAGCGTTAGCTCAAGGCAGACTCTGTAACTCCACAGGCCCAGACTGTAAACGGTGACTACGTTGCTCTTTGACCATTTTGAAAGGAGAACATCTGACAACCTCTCAGTTGGCTGAGAATGAAATATGTTTCAGAATAAACTTCCTTCCAACATGATTAAGACATTAAAGTGTTTTGTGATTATTTCACAGTATAATTCTTACATATTGTTCCTTTAAATATAAAACAAGCAATTAAAATTGTCATATGACAATAATGTTTCAGAGAATTTACTAAGTGGATGTTTTTCAGGAACGTAAATATATGTTTCAATAAAATCTGGCAACAGTACCAGGCTAAACTTAAATGTACCTTATTAAAAAAAGGTGAATATTGGCTGACTGATTTATTGATTTATCCCTAGTAAATACACTGACCTTGTAAACAGACAACTCTCCTGGAACTGTAGTCTCTATGTTTCCACCAGCCTCAGCAGCCAGGTCCACCACCACTGACCCGTCCTTCATGCTCTCTACCATCGGCTTGGTGATTAGGATGGGTGCCCTTCTACCTGTGATGTTAAAAGTAAATATAAAGGCATTAATAAGGTGAAGGAAAGATCTAAAAAGCTTTTTTTTTCTCAACTTTTGACAACAAACTTTTTTCCCCCAGCATTATGTTAAAACAGTATTTTATTGTATTTAAGTTACTTTTATAGATCAGTTTTAGGCTCGTCCATATTTAAAACGAACTAATTTACCTGCTTAGACCATGAATCTAACATACTTCAGCTAAAGAAACTGAAGAAATGTTTACACAGCCATGTTTTGCATCCCAACAGAAAACTCTGCACGAGTCTACACTACTGGGCATACCTGGGATCAGAGCAGTACTTATCACAATGTCCACTTCCTGACACTGTTTGGCAAACAGCTTCATCTCTGCCTCTATGAACTCCTTTGACATTTCCTTGGCGTAGCCTCCCTGGCCTTCTCCTGACTCCTTAATGTCCACCTCCAGCGGCTCAGCACCCAGAGACTTAAACTGCTCCAAAGCTGCAGCTCTGAAAGGAAATTAGGCAGAGGAGTGAATGCATGTTGCAAAGAACAATACTATATCTGCTAAATTCTTTGTTTGAGTGGTCTACAATTGTTGTAACATCCATTTATAAGAAAAAAAAAATACAGAATACCGTCATGTTCAAAAATATAACTTCATGAAGTGTTGTCAATCTTTAAAAGATAAAACATTTTGTACTGTTGCTCAACTAAAAACAACGAAGAACAAAGTTAAAACTTGTGAGACCATTTCCCTATTTTTCTTTTAGTCATAATTTTTTACTTGAAGTGGGAAAAAATTTGCAATCAGATTAATAAAACCTAAAAATACCTGTACATTTCTACAACAAAGAGTCAGTATGCAACTGTAGCCAGTGAGGCGAAGTCACCCGAGCACAGGTGATGAGCGCTGCAGCAGAGCGCGTCAGGCACGAATAAAAGACAGATATTACCAGATCATATTAGCGGAAATGAACGATCTTTTGTTAATTTTTTATTTTTTGGGTCACACCGCTTTGAGAAGGTTACTGTGGCCATGAGCAAAATGAAGCTGCCTGGAGCGCATGAATAATCTGATGCTCTCTGCTTAAAGAATCCCCAAAACATCGAGTCCATAAAAATAATGCAATATAGGTAGAAATAGGATCTATTTTCAGGCTCCCTCTTGGTATGTAATGGCACCTACACACTAGCATCAGCTCCACTCCGCCTAGACCGGGTTGGGAGTGTTCTCATTTAGGTAGCCTTGGATTTTACCAAGTGCAACCGGGTGTCTTTTCAGTTCCCTTCCCGAGGCGGTCTACCTGGAGCTGAACTGGTCCAACACGCCCACTGCTGACTCATTGGCAAGCTCAAACTGACACCTACCAATAGGGGTAGCCCATGTGCTCAATCACGTCCGCATTCCGAAGGCACTGTGGAACGAATGCTGCAAGGCTGGGGCCGGCGGAGCAGAGCGGTGCGGAGTGGAGCCGATGCAAGTGTCATAAGCTGAGGGCTTCAGGGGAACCCAACAACCTTTCAAGCTCTCCTGTAATTTGAACCCTGTATTCGAGTCTGGATTGGGAAGTAACACCCGATCCAGTCTGAAACCATGTGATCAGAACCGATTTCTGATCACATGATCGGATTTGGACATCCCTAGTAACAAGAGTAGCCTTTAGGCTGAAATAAACTGAGAAACACTGTTTATTAGTAACAAATAAGCTAAAATGATCATACTGATTCAGGCATAAATTCAAATAGTGATGTTCCAAATATGTTTATGTACAATTACATTACATTCTCCGACCGACATTAATGAACATGACAAACCAACCTGGTATCAAACCCTCTGACGATGGCTCCCATCGCTCTGGCTGTACCAGCAGCTGCCAGACCAGCTACTCCTCCCCCAATAATCAGCACCTATTGAGATGTAAACAAAATAAAAACAGCTACATAAACCATCATCACAAATGACATGTTCACATTCTACATAGCCATAAACAGATTAATCCTATTTTATTGAAGAATAAAGAGAACTACAGAAACACATTTTTACACACACCTTTGCAGGTGGGACTTTCCCAGCTGCTGTGATTTGTCCGGTGAAAAATCGCCCAAAGTTGTTGGCTGCCAAAATAACGGATTTGTACCTGGAAGGACAAGGAAACATGTAAAAATGGACTAGCGGCAACCAAATACATACAGGTCCTTCTAAAAAAATTTGCATATTGTGATAAAGTTCATTATTTTCTGTAATGTACTGATAAACATTAGACTTTCAGATAAATTAGATTCATTACACACAACTTAAGTAGTTCAAGCCTTTTATTGTTTCTAATATTGATGATTTTGGTGTACAGCTCATGAAAACCCAAAATTCCTGTCTCAAAAAATTAGCATATCATGAAAAGGTTCTCTAAACGAGCTATTAACCTAATCATCTGAATCAACTAATTAACTCTAAACACCTGCAAAAAATTCCTGAGGCTTTTAAAAACTCCCAGCCTGGTTCATTACTCAAAACCGCAATCATGGGTAAGACTGTCGACCTGACTGCTGTCCAGAAGGCCATCATTGACACCCTCAAGCAAGAGGGTAAGACACAGAAATACATTTCTGAATGAATAGGCTGTTCCCAGAGTGCTGTATCAAGGCACCTCAGTGGGAAGTCTGTGGGAAGGAAAAAGTGTGGCAGAAAACGCTGCACAACAAGAAGAGGTGACCAGACCCTGAGGAAGATTGTGGAGAAGGACCGATTCCAGACCTTGGGGGGCCTGCGGAAGCAGTGGACTGAGTCTGGAGTAGAAACATCCAGAGCCACCGTGTACAGGCTTGTGCAGGAAATGGGCCACAGATGCCCAGGGGTGGACCGTTAAAGCGCCCGAGCGCCAATGGCGCTAAATTTTCTCGTCGGGCGGTAAATACTTGACGACTTACCGCCCGGGTGGCGCCCAAGCTTTATTTGTCATTTACACACCGGCTTTCGCCTACATCATGGCCCCGCCCTGTAGGAAGCTGCCGTTTTCGTTTCGCGCGCGTGAACCTGCGCGCCTCTAGCCACCTACTGCACTTGTACGATTCGTGCACGTACTGCACGATTATTTATAGTCACGTGAACTATAAGTCACTATTAAAGACGAAGTGGAACCATGCTAGAAACACACAAGCACGCAGGAAGATCGCACCACCACAGGGATTGGATTTCTTGATGAAATCTCCGGCAAAACGCTTTAAAATTGGTGAGGAGAAGCGAGACAGTTCGAAACTGTATGAAGCAGAGAAGCGTGTGCGTAGGTGGAACGATTCTTGGCGGTTTAAAGAAGACGGGAGGCGCAGAGAATGGCCGTGTTCGAGTTGAGCAGCACCTCGCCTGGAAAACAGACGGAAGCAGCAGGGGGAGTGGCTGAAAGCCGGCGTTTACGCCGGGAACACACTGGCCGCGGAAGCGCCCGAAGCAAATCGCTCACGAAGTCCGGCTGCTGCTCGCCGCTCCTCAGTTCAGATCAGACGCGCCCCATTCGAGGCGCGCCTCGGCTCCGCTGTGGTTTTTCTTTTAACTACCTGGTGTCCTCAATTTCCTCAGCTCTTTTCCTCTACGTGTGTGTGTGTGAGTGAGTGAGTGAGTGAGTGAGTGAGTGAGTGAGTGAGTGAGTGAGTGAGTGAGTGAGTGAGTGAGTGAGTGAGTGAGAGGAGAGAGAGAGAGACTATGGTGTGAACCAGTTGTTTCTGCCAGTTGAATCTCTTGGATTTCCCTACATGTGTAGCTCGGGGGTGACGATGGATGAAGATATCGCGTTAGCATACTTGTTCAATTTTCAATTTTAATTCTGGTGCCTGTTAGCAGCTGAAACCCATCCTCACGTGCTTGTGGATATCATATATTGTATATGGAGACATGACTGTAATAATAAGTAAAGGTTAGCAGCTGTAGCTTCAGTGTGCTCATAGGAAACGTGACAAAAGAACACAAAACACATTTCTCTTTATGGCCTATATAGTTGTCATCATCAACGTAACATGATTTACAGAATACATGTGACCAACTAACATTTAATGTTCTACCACTGGATGTTTGGATCAAAATATGAACCAATCAGATCTTAGATCAGGTGAGAGCCAGGTGTTTCCCATTATCCTCTAGGTTTTGCAGCCAAGGGAGAGCAACTGCAGCGCCTTGCTCCAAAATCTGCGGCCGCCTTGATCTCACAAGGTTATCGTTGCCTACGTATGCATGACGTCAGAGCAAGTCGGTGTCAATTCGGACACAAATCTAACCGACATGCACTGCTCGCCGATCACCGCTGGTCTAATCTGCGCAGAACTGGCTCAGCTCGAACACAGCCAAAGGCTCGAGTACAGCAAAGTGGAGTTGGTGATGTACTGCGTTGTATGCTGGAAGTATGCGACGACAAAATTGTGTTTTGTTGAGGGAACAAAAAAATTCAAACTTGAATACGTTATTATGTTTGTGAATGTGTACAAAATAAAGGTTTATTACATTTAAAACGGTTCAGTTGTTATTTTGACTCGTTTTGGCAGCTGACCAGCGGGGCCGGTAGATTCTTGGCGGGGCCGGTAAATATTCAGAGTTACCGGCCCGGCTGGCCGGTTGGTTTTGAAGTTAATGTCCACCCCTGGATGCCGCATTCCCCAGGTCAAGCCACTTTTGAACCAGAACCAGCGGCAGAAGCGCCTGACCTGGGCTACAGAGAAGCAGCACTGGACTGTTGCTCAGTGGTCCAAAGTACTTTTTTCGGATGAAAGCAAATTTTGCATGTCATTCGGAAATCAAGGTGCCAGAGTCTGGAGGAAGACTGGGCAGAGGGAAATGCCAACATGCCTGAAGTCCAGTGTCAAGTACCCACAGTCAGTGATGGTCTGGGGTGCCATGTCAGCTGCTGGTGTTGGTCCACTGTGTTTTGTCAAGGGCAGGGTCAATGCAGCTAGCTATCAGGAGATTTTGGAGCACTTCATGCTTCCATCTGCTGAAAAGCTTTATGGAGATAAAGGTTTCATTTTTTCAGCACGACTTGGCACCTGCTCACAGTGCCAAAACCACTGGTAAATGGTTTACTGACCATGGTATTACTGTGCTCAATTGGCCTGCCAACTCTCCTGACCTGAACCCCATAGAGAAGTGCCACAGGCTGATTGCCTCCATGCCACGCCGCATTGAAGCAGTCATTTCTGCAAAAGGATTCCTGACCAAGTATTGAGTGCATAACTGAACATAATTATTTGAAGGTTGACTTTCTTGTATTAAAAACACTTTTCTTTTATTGGTCGGATGAAATATGCAAATTTTTTTAGATAGGAATTTTGGGTTTTCATGAGCTGTATGCCAAAATCATCAATATGGGAAGCGCTAAAGAAGGATCTTGAAATGCAGAATTGGGAGGAAGTATATGTAAGGGATGTCAACACTGCATATAAGTCCTTCATGGAAAAATTGATGAAATTATATAATAATAACTGTAAATTATTCAAAAGTAGTGGTAAAAGGGTAGATCAACCATGGATGACTAAAGGAATAAGAAATGCATGTGCAAAAAAAACCCAGCTGTATAGGAATTTTTTAAAATCACAGACAAGAGTAACAGAAGACCGATATAAAAAATATAAAAACAAATTAATAGCAATAATTAGGAAAAGGAAAAAAGATTATTATGGTGAATTATTGGAAAAGAATAAGGCCAATACAAAGGCTACATGGGGAATAATAAATAGTGTGACGAACAGAAATAAAACTACATCTAAGGTACCAAATTACTTTGTCAAGGACAATGTAGACATTTATGATGTAAAAGAAATCTCTAATGAATTCAATGATTTTTTTGTAAATGTAGGGAGGAGTTTGATGGGTCATGACACTTTAATTGAAGACAATTTGAATACAGTAGTAAATAATGTCAGTAGTATTTTCCTTGGCAAAGTAGAAAAGGAGGAAATACGAGAAATTGTAAAAAAATGTGGAAATAAGCGATCAACTGATTGTGAGGATTTGGACATGATGACTGTAAAGACCATAATAGAATCTGTTATTGATCCTTTTACTTATATATGTAATTTGTCACTTTCTACTGGAGTCTTCCCTGATGCTATGAAAATAGCAAAAGTGGTTCCACTGTTTAAGAATGGTGATAAACATAATTTCACAAATTATAGGCCAGTGTCACTACTTCCACAGTTTTCCAAAATACTAGAAAAAGTCTTTGCATCACGGTTGGATAAATTTATTGAAAAAAATATGATCTTACATAATGAACAGTATGGATTCAGGACCCAACATTCAACAACAATGGCAATAATGGATTTAACAGAGAAAATATCTGAAGCAATAGACAATAGAGAATACTTTATTAGTGTTTTTATTGACTTAAAGAAAGCTTTTGACGTTATCGATCATTCAAGGTTACTGCAAAAATTATATCAGTATGGAATACGAGGGGTTGCTCATCAATGGGTCAGAAGTTATTTAGATAACAGAAAGCAATAAGTTCAGATAAATGGCATTACATCAGAGCTACGAAATATTGCTTATGGAGTGCCACAAGGGTCGGTCCTTGGACCAAAATTGTTCAACCTGTATATCAATGATTTGGTAAATGTGTCTGACAAACTAGGTTCTGTTTTGTTTGCAGATGATACAACACTGTTTTATTCAGGGTCTGATATAAATGAAGTAACTCATGTGATAAATATTGAACTGATAAAAGTTAAAAACTGGTTTGATATAAATAAATTAACACTTAATCTTAAAAAAACTAATTTCATTCTATTTAATGACAAAGAAAATATAGACGTAATATTAAAAATAGATAACATGGAAATTCAAAGGGTAAAAGAAATCAAATTTTTGGGAGTAATGATTGATGAAGCTCTAAGCTGGAAATCACACATAGGCTAAAAGGTAAAGTGGCCAAAGCCATTGCAGTATTATATAGCGTAAAGTTTCTACTTAATAGTGAAGGATTGTTATTACTATACAATGCACTGATTCTGCCATACTTAAATTACTGTGTAGAAATCTGGGGAACTGCATATAGAACATATACACAACCTTTGTTTGTTTTGCAGAAAAAAGCAATGAGAATTATAGACAACACTCATAGTACAGCTCCATCTAACCCATTATTTATAAAATATAAAGTAATTAAATTTCATGATTTGGTCAACTGGAGAATATTGCATATAATGTATAAAGCAAATAAAGGTACATTGCCAAAGAATATTCAGCATATATTTGAAAAGAGAGATAGCAGTTATTCATTGAAGGGATTTGAAATCTTCAAAAAACCTAGATTTAGAACAAGAATGAAGGAAATGAGCATATCTGTGAATGGTGTGAAGTTGTGGAATTGCCTGGACAGAGAATGGAAAGAGTCAAGAACTCTAAAAGTGTTCAGTCTACACATTAAATCACGTGTGTTGAGTGGATATGACAACGGACAATTGATGTGGACATAATAATTAACAAATGTGAACAGTTACGGGACTGAAAGAACTGGTGAGGGACTGCACAAATATAAATTGATATTTAAGTTTAAAAAGGGGGTAGAAATAATAAGATTTTTCTTCTATCTGCTCCCTTTCATTCAAATATATATTGTGTTTCCATGAATATTGTTTAGTGACTGTTGTGTTATTTTTTATTGAATGAAATAAAGATAATAAAAAAAAACAATAAAAGGCTTGAACTACTTCAGTTGTGTGTAATGAATCTAATATATATGAAAGTCTAATGTTTATCAGTACATTACAGAAAACAATGAACTTTATCACAATATAATATTTTGAGAAGAGCCTGTATATGTGTGACTTTTTTATTTTATTTTATTTTTTAAAGATCCCACACACACCAATTTGGATCTTTTTTTTTAAACTTTTGAACTTTAAAATCCCTTTCACCCACCCAGCCCAAAAGGACCACTCTCAGGGACATTTCAGGAACCAAACGAGTACCCGTCTTGGGGTGTGTACTCAGAAATGGCCCTGTAGAGTTGTTGGGCAGGAATTGTGGCTAAAGCCTAATTTATACTATATATACGAGGGAGACGCACGCGCATTGACAGACGTTTTGTTCTCAGACTTCTCCGTCAGCTGGGATTGTTCCAAAACAATTCCCCGCCAGGACAATAAGGGGCGTTTGTCCCCATCCACCTCTTCGTGCCATCGGCACCTCTAAACTCACATTTCTCGACTTTTACATCCATGATTAAAACACCTGCTGCATATCTTTGTACTCCTTCAGTCATGGGTAATTAATGGTTCATATTTTCCCCGCGATGCGTTCTTTAATTTGTTTCCGTCTTTGCAGTTAAATATCTTTTATTTTTTGAGGGGGCAAAGACAGTGCTGTTGGCGATTTACAGGAAGCAGCGTCCTGACCAATCACCAGCTTGCGGTCTTCATCTCTTTCGACGAATAGTTAAAAATTGGGGCATGTCTCCGTCGCCCTTTGCGAGTACATCGGAGAGCTCTTGCACCGACACATAATGGCATTGCGTGTCTCTGTACTGACGCAGACAAAGAAGTATAAACTAGGCTTAACTCATGCTGATTGGTGTTAAACTCACCTGACAGACGTTTCTACAGCTTCTACAGAGCACCGGTCATTGAATGAAGTTTTTACCATCACACAGTTGCTCTCCCCATCCCCTGAATCGACTAAATGATGGCGTACTTTGAAAGAATAAGATGTGTTTAATGATAATAATGTCTATAGCTATGGCTATACCTGAGGGTGTCATTTGTCGTTGATAAGTGATGTCACTCACTGAAGAAAAAAAACGCAATATGCTGACGTCTTTTGGATGAGAAACACAGCTCTTGTACATACCCTGCAATGTTCGCCATGGAGCTCAGTGCATCGAAACCCTGAGCGATGGTGACTCGAGGCACCTGGTCCATAGCCAGGACGGTGGCTTTCTTCTGGGACAACATGTCCATCAGGTCAGGGTTCTGAGCTGGATAGACGAAACTGACTAAGGTCGCTGCTTCCTTCATCATCTCCACTTCATGAATTCCCAAAGCCGGGTTATATATGGGAGCACGGACCTGGGATTAGCCACATCCAGACCAGACAAACACATGAAATATAACCATTCTTTAAATTAGAGCTATTCTGACTGTTGCTTTATATTTTGGCATATTTTTGTCTCTCTTCAAATGACAAAAGAAAAAAAAAACTTTAATAAAAAGCATTAAAGAACAGTCGCCTTGGGGCCTACCTTGACCAACAAGTCAGAGGACAGCACATCTTTTACATCTTTAATCGCTGCTCCAGCCTGAGTGTACTGCTCATCGTGAAACTTGGAGAACTCTCCAGCTCCAGACTCCACAACGACGTTGAAGCCCTGTTTGATGAGAGCCTGGACACCAGCTGGTGACAGCGCCACCCGACGTTCATTCTGGAAAATTTCTTTGGGAACTCCAACTGTCAGCTGCTTGTATGGGATTCCTGAGGAGGTGCAAGCAGACAAAAGGTCATTTTTACACGTTTCCCTCACAAACTGACCTACTTAATTCATTACAAGTAAAAATGAAACTCTAAAAGGAATAAGTCACTATTTAAACACTGCTTAAATTCCTAAAATATTATGTACTTTGATTCAGGTCTATTGCTCAAGTGGGCAGACAGGTCACATGTCGTTTTGGCCCTGATGGAAAATTCCACTTCAGGTCTTTCTCTCCGTTTCTTCCTGAACAAAAAATAGTTTGATGTTGTTTCTCACTCCTGCTTCTCCAGCTGTGCTGACCCAGCTCCTCACTTGTTGTTTGGACAGGATGAGGCAGCAAAATACTCAAATAAAAGATGAGTCTACCTAGATTTCACTAAACGCCTCTGTTGCTATGGCCCGTTCAGTTCAGGATTAACTTCTAAATCCTGCTACTTGCATTCAAATGTTTGAACAGTCAGGCCCCTCCCTATCTAAGTGAACTTCTCCATTTCTACCACCCTTCTCGTGCTCTTAGGTCTGCAGATAAACTCTTCCTCACCGTTCCTAAGGTGCGTTTGAAGACTCGCAGGGAAAGGGTTTTTTGTATCTATGCCCCCAAACTTTGGAATTCACTACCCCTTCCGGTTAGACAAGCACCCTCACTTCCCATCTTTAAATCAAGGCTGAAAACGCATTACTTCTCTATGGCCTTCGATTCTTAGCATCAACAATTTGTCATACCTCCATCCACTGTGGTTCTCTTTAATAGAATTTGTTTCGTGTCTCACTATGGGAACGCCTAGGCGTGACCTCGTCAGAAGCTCTTATTCCACACTGCCAGCCCTGATTGGCTGGAACAAATCTGTCAGCGTATAGGAGGCGGGAACCCCACCTATATATGAGGTAGGGATGCACCGATCAGGTTTTTTGCTGCCGATCACCGATACCGATATCAAATAATGCTGATCACCGATACCAATCACGTGGATTGGCCAGAAATTTCTACAACATTATAATGAGTACTACAAACTACATAATCTGGGAATAAAGGAAATGTAACCTAATCTAAAATGGTCTGTATTAGGGTTGTCACGGTGTGAAAATTTAACCTCACAGTTATTGTGACCAAAATTACCACGGTTTTCGGTATTATCGCTGTATTTTTTTTAAACGTGCTACATTTTCACACAATTAAATAAACCCTGTATGTCAGGAAATATTGTCCTCAGTTTGTGTCTAAATTTGGCCTAAAATGTGTTATTTTGTAATTATGTTGTTTATTTGTTTACATATTTCCCCTTTAGTCTTTAAAATACCAATATTTGCCCATAACGTCTTATTTTTTGTCTGTTTGGTGTCATCATTTTAAAAATATTAGACCAGATGATACTCAAGTACTCGGTACTCAAGTAGGCTTCTAATCAGATACTTTTTTACCCTTACTTGAGTAATAAACCCTATATCAGGAAAATATTGTCCTCGGTTTGTGTCCTTCCAGTGAGCTTTGCAGATGTGGGAAAATGTCATCAGGCAGTAATCATTGTTAAATTCATAATTATTCTCGGAGAGAGACCAACTCTTACCTGCCCCTGGGAGCCCCGTAATGCATAGCGTCATTTCAACATGGTGGTGTCCGCGACACGGTTTATATGCAGGTAGCGGCGCTGCGGCTGCTTTATATAGCGACTCGTTACATTCTCCCTCAACCCAAATCCTCGGCTCACGCATTTGAGCTAAAACGCTAATGTTAGCTTGCCTTGCGTTGACTGTAGATTTGTGGGTGATGGTCACACAGATGTGTCATGAGATTTGAAGCATTGCTGCCTTTCACAGACACTTTTTCTGCATGGGCTGCAAACAGGATAGCCGTCTTCTATCAACTGTCCCTCGACATTCTTCAAATATCCAAAACATGCCCGTACTTCCCACTTTGTCTTCTTTGAGGGATAAAAAATGTCCTCCTGAGCGCTGCCGTCTCCTCCTTTGGCCATTATTTCAGCTTTAGCTTCAAGAAAGTTTTGGTTGTAAACAACAAAGTGCGCATGTGCTGCCGGCAACTTCAGCAGATGATACGGTGGCTGGTAAGGGTCACCGCGCCTACACCGCAGCCACAGTAAACCCACAAAGATAATATAGTTTTTTTTTTAACAAGACGGTTATTATTATTATTGTCAACTTTTTTACCGGGGTTTACTGCTACACCGGTTACCGTGACAACCCTACCTGATCGGTCTGCTTTGATCTATTTTGAAAACTCCGATCAAAACCGATAGGGGCGCTATCGGCCGATTGGGATCAAATACCGATCCATCGGTGCATCCCTTATATTAGGCCGGCTCCTCACTGACAGTATTCTAAAACCTCTTCTCGCTACGAGCAGACGTTCCCAAAATCCTCTCGCGTGCTGACTGTCAGACTGGAGCTAGCTAAACTGCCCGAAGGAGGAGTGCGAACTCTACCGCCGGGCGCTGGTCCTGGTCTTACGGTTTTACACGAGAGACAGTCTCACATTAACCTGCCTCCAAGCAGCGGTGTGAGTTGCAGACTGTGAGGAGTAGCAATACGCTTAACAGTTAGCATTTTAATGAGTAGTATTACTCGAAGGGTAGCGATACCACCCACACAGGGCACAGCCGCAACGCTTACCCCACCTAACCACCCTAGACTAGCGTTAGCTGTCTAAATGGTATTGTTAGCTGCAAAGCTAAACACCAGGAGGGTCATGGACGCCATGAGCGATGCCGCTAAGGCGGCTGAAAACCCGAACCTCAACCTGGACCGAGCTGGAGTGAAACTCTGCATCTCGTGGACCCGCTTCCACTCGAACTCCTGGACCGCCACCTTGCGGACAGCCCAATGGACTTCCGCGGAGCAGAGGATGGCGACAATTCCAACGCAGCATCAGAGCTCCTCATGACAGATGAAGAGGAGGAGGACAGCCCCATTCTGACCTCCTCAGGCCGGGTCGCAAAACCTTAGCTCCTGAGCAGTGGCTGTGTCAGCGCCGGAGAATCGGCGTCACCTGCCCTGGATCTGAATCTGCAGGACGTGTGCAAACGCGCTGCAGAGAAGCTCAACATCCGTTGGCTGGAGGTCCAAGCAGAATCGGAAATCAGAAAGCGATGTCAGGAAAAGAAACGGGATGACGAGGCTCTGAAATTATGCCCCCCCAGACGGGCACCAGTACACCCCGTAGCCCCTCCTCCACCTCAATGCCAAACTTTTGCCCAAGCTGCGGCCCGCCTGTCCCCAACCTTCAAGATTCCAAAGTTGGCGAAACAGCAGTCGGCTCCAGCGTCATCTCAGAGACCCGCCCCAGCTAAAGTTCTGTGGAACAAGAGGCCTAACGCCACTCATCCGGATCAACCTCCGCCCGCCTCTACTCAGGTGGGGAGGAGAAGGAAGTGTCTAGCCTGACAGGCTACCAAGACGCAGCGAGCGAACTGTTTCCAGTTCCGTGCTTGGATGTTCTGTGCATGAAAGAAGAGATGTTCCAATCTGCTCCATGCACCCCAAAGAGACAGTGTGTTATTCCCGTATGCAACCAAGATGGCCCGGTGACATGTCTCACAAGCACTGTTCTATGTTCTCAAACATTAAAAATGTGAACGCTGTCACATCCAGGCAGTGTGCTGAGGGCGCAGCTAAAAAAGTTGAAAAACAAAAGATCAATGAATCAAGGGGCGGAGACTACTCATTTCCTAAACAAAATGAGTACACCCCCCATGTTCAAACACGTCCGCCTCAGGTCTCAGTCCCCGCACATGCGCAGTACAAATCTGCTCACGATTCACCCCAGATCCACTAGAGGGCGAGCTCGTTCCACACATGACGGAGGGGCCTGTCAGCCCGGTGTCGCTGAGAATAAAAGACTGGGAGAAATGCACGGAGTCAGACTGAGTTCTGAAAACAATAAGCAGAGGATATAGGCTGCAATTTGCAACAGTTCCCCCTCGCTTTATAGGCGTGGTTCAATCACAAGCCAAGGGAGAAGCCACTCATTTCCTACAGGAGGAAATTTCCTCACTGTTAGAGAAAGAAGCAATAAGAGAAATCCCTCCAGAGCAAAGAAGGTGTGGGTTTTACTCAAGATACTTTCTGGTTCCAAAGAAAGGCGGAGGGATGCGAGCTATTCTGGACCTGCGGAGTTCGAAGAGATATCTCAGAAAATACATGTTCAGAATGCTGACGCACGCTTCCCTACAGCGCTTTCTCCACCCGGGAGACTGGTTCACACTCCACCAGCTCCTCCGGCAGGACCCCAAGGCGTTCCCGGACCAGATTGGAGATGTAACCTCTCTAACGTGTCCTGGGTCGACCCGAGGGCCTCCTGCCGGCAGGACATGCCTGAAACACCTCCCCAGGGAGGCGTCCAGGAGGCATCCTTACCAGATGCCCAAACCACCTCAACTGGCTCCTTTCGATCCGGAGGAGCAGCGGTTCTACTCCGAGTCCCTCCAGAATGTCTGAGCTCCTCACCCTATCTCTAAGGCTGAGCCCGGCCACCCTATGGAGGAAACTCATTCCGGCCGCTTGTATCTGCAATCTCATTCTTTTGGTCATTACCCAAAGCTCATGACCATAGGTGAGGATTGGGACGTAGATCGACCGGTAAATTGAGAGCCCGGCTTTCTGGCTCAGCTCCCTCTTTACCACAACAGATCGGCTCAGCGTCCGCATCACTGCAGACGCTGAACCAATCCGCCTGTCGATCTCCCGATCCCTCCTACCCTCACTCGTGAACAAGATCCCGAGATGCTTAAACTCCTCCACTTGAGGTAGGACCTCTCCCCCGACCCGGAGTTGGCAAGCCACCCTTTTCTGGTCAAGAACCATGGTCTCAGATTTGGAGGTGCTGATCCTCATCCCAGCCGCTTCACACTTGGCCGCGAACCTACCCAGCAAGAGCTGAAGGTCAGAGCTGGATGAAGCTAGGAGGACCACATCATCCGCAAAAAGCAGAGACGAGATTCTCCTGCCACCAAACTCGACACACTCCCCCCCACGGCTGCGCCTAGAA